TGAGAAGACGTACATACGGATCAAGACGATCCCGTCGGAAGTAACCACAAAGCTCAATATGTGTTTCTCATTCTAGACTGAGTCAAAAATCGAGACGTCGGATGAACAGTAAATAAGATATTCATTAAGAAAGAGACTTAGGTCCTTAGAACAATGGTGGGGAGAAGAGCGATGCGAGGGAGGGGAAGAGAGGGATGGCAAAGGGGAGAATAGACGGGGGGGGGGGGGGGGGGGGGGGGGCGGGATTGTTTGGAGTTAGCAAGTTAGTTAGTTCCAGGCTACCTTACTACTACCCAGATAACGGGAGGAGGGAGCCCGGTTCCTTACCTAGGCCGTGGCGGTGGAGTGAGTGTTTGCCCCATAGTAAGTACGGTTAAACCTATACATACCTCTTTACCCCTGACAATTGCCAGACTTGTTATTCAGTGTTTTTACCTAGATCCATGATCCGGATGGTACAGTGCACTAAGATCAATGTGCAGGGAAGTTTATGATGCCATGTTACTCGAGGATAATAAAAGCAAGTGGTCTCGCCTCGTCACTAGCACTGCGATATTAAACAATAACTATAGGCACAGTTAAGTAGTTACTCGTAGTACTACTCAAGAGTCTCTCTCTAGTTTTACATCAGTCCGACACCAAGGTGGATTTCAAGGGACTCGGAACGGGAAAGTGCAGAAGTGGATGATCGTCACGCAGAAACCACGCCTATGGTATTTTACCGGAATCCTCGGCTGTATTCCGGCCATTGCTTGAAGCTCATCACATAAATATATTTCGATCCCCGTGCTTCGCCCTTCCCTCCCCAAACCCCACACCCAACACCCCCTCTGCCCAACCTAGAGAGACACAACGATACCACGGTATCGCAATCGCTTACCAAGTCCACGAGTGTCGCAGTTGTCTAAAACGTCAACCCATCCGAGAACATGACAGACCCTTTTAAGTCTTTGGATGCTGCGCAGCGCTCCAGTTCCACCAGCGGCAACGAGACATCGTCTGTGTCCCGACGGACTTTTGCCATTGCAGGGATTCTCACGACAGTGTTTGGCCTCGAGGAGATACCGTCAGAAGCGTCGGAGATCGCCTGTCTCTGGTTATTACATCCGAGGCTGGCTACCCAAGAGCGGATGACTGGTATCGCTACAGCAGTTATCACCGACTGGAACTCCACGTTCCAGGGCGCTCGCTCAGATTCAAAGCACGGCGTCAAAGGCCTCATTGCGGTGGCCTTCGACCAGAGAAACCATGGGACAAGGCTGGTTGATCCCCTAGCGAATGAAGCTTGGAAACAAGGAAATCCCCGTCACGCGCAAGATATGTTCTCGATTTTCCGTGAGTGCCCATGCCTGCACGTTGATCTGAAGAAGAATATCTCTAATGTCTGTCCGTCAGAGGGTACTGCCCGAGACGTGTCTCTCTTGATCGACTATATCCCGTCTTTTATCTTCCCCAAGTCAGACCGCGAAATATCCAAGAATCTAGTACTGGGCGTGTCTTTGGGTGGACACGCTGCTTGGAGCTGCATCTTGCATGAGCCCCGCGTAAGTGCGGGCGTTGTCATTATTGGCTGCCCTGATTATGTGAACCTCATGGCCGATCGCGCCAGACTGTCCAAGCTGCCATCTTGGATGAATAGCAAAGCTCCTGGCTCCCAGTTCTTGGGTTCCGAGGATTTCCCTTCCTCGTTGCTAGATGCTGTTCGTAAATACGATCCTGCAAGCCTCTTCTTGAGTCGGATGGGCCCGATCGTGAATACTAGTCCGCTTCGCAGCGAATCCCTGCCGAGACCTACAGAGGGTGAGAAGGATACTCTACGCCCTATACTGAAAAGCTGTTTGGCGGGCAAGAAGATACTTAATCTGTCAGGCGGGTTGGATAAATTGGTCCCCTACCATCGGGGAAGCACATTTTTGACCTGGTTAAAACAGGCAATCTCGCCCGACGGCTGGTTTGCTGACGGAGTGGTTACCTTGGAGGACATTATTGACGAGAGCGCCGAGCATGAGGTGACTCCTAAAATGGTCGATGAAGCGGTCCGGTTCATTCGCGAGACGCTGGAGACCAATAACGGTAACCCCAAGACGGGCTTTGTTCGAGAAGCTAAGATATAGACATACTACAGCTGGTTTAAGAAGACCATAATGCTACTGCTGCGGACCACCCAGCCGGCAGAGCCACACTACGGAGCCTGACATCGGCACATCAAGATGCGTGGAGTAACCACGCATTTAAGCGGTCCGATGGTAAAGAACACATGTGGAGTAGACAATAGCGAACTTTATTCAATAAACCGTCTGTGCCATTAGAGGTGATGACTAAAACGGATAACTTTTAGCGACAGCCCGTTGCGACATTTCAGGACCGAATTAAAAGTGGTCGAAGATTGAGCCAGACGAGAAAGTAAAGTTCCAATCCTCCTTCATGGTATTGTTCGATAAAGTTTGATCGTGAGGGCGTCTGGCGGCCCTTTTGAGCTCGTCACAAACTAGAACCCTCTTGTTTTGTAGATACACGGACCAAGGTGCCCGATCCGCGGCTCCCATTTGAAGATTTCATCACCAGGGGAGAAAATTGACCCTCTATTGCACCGAACCGTAGCCAGCGCAGCACCTGTCCCAGTCTTGTCCTTCAGGTAGAAACGTTGATTTCCACATTTAAGCAACAAGCTCAACAACACCGCCAGCTTCCTTGATCTTCTTCTCGGCGTCACGGCTGAAGTAGCGGGCGCGGACGACGATGGGGACCTCGGGGAGACGGCCCTTGCCCAGAACCTTAGAGTAGCCGAGGGCGAGGAGGTCGATGACAGGAGCGGTGTCGGTCTTCTGGCCACTCACGTAGGCATCGCGCTGCTCGGCAGGAACAAGAGACCACAACTGTATGGCAAGCATTCGAATCAGCAACTAGCCCTCTGGAATTGTGTCCGTTGTCGGTGTTGGATCCCCATTCCCAGTCTTGATCCGGGAAATTGATCCCTTGCCGTTCCAAGAAATGCGACCACCGCTAAACGCACTATTCGGATCCTCCTTATCGAGTTCGTATCACGTACCTTGTCGAGGTTGATGGTGGGCTTCCAGAACTGCTGCTGGGTCTTGTGGAAGTACCTCATTCCGACCTTACCGAAGTAACCGGGGTGGTACTTGTCAAGGTTGGTCCGGTGGTGGTGCTGACCACCGGCCATACCACGACCACCGGGATGCTTACGGTGCTTGCCAATGCGACCGTAACCGGCGGAAACATGACCGCGGCTAGGAAATGAGAATGTCAGCTCCCTATCTCACTTCCAATGTTCGGCGGCACCTGGGCTTGTCGCATTCCACAAAAAAACACGAGATCATGATCGGGGGTACGGAGCGATGGGGAAAAGCTTTTTCGACTCACGCTTTCCTTGTCTTCGAAAATCGGGTAGGCATCTTGTCGACGGTGCTGAGCTCGACAAGACCGGTCTGAGAGTTGGCGATGGGGGGATGCGGTCGTGGGTGCTGGGCTCAGATGTTGAAATCAAGGCTCGGGGGGCGGCTAGAATGTGCGCTAATTTCCTTGCCCTAATTTAGGGTCCTGCCCTTTACTCATATCTTGGCGCTTGTGGAGGCATTCCACGTGATAAGATCGCTGTCCGTAGCATCGGATCCGCCCGTGCCAGTGAGCAATTTAGTATAGTAGTTAGACTGAGCATAGGTATGATTGCTAGATTGCTAAGAAGGTCTATCGTGGCCTTGAATTTATTTACCTGCAATGCTACGGAGTAGTTCTTGCTGCCATGCCATTCATTGTTCTTTCCCCCTGAAGAAAGTAGACAAGCTCTGAATCGTCCTATCTGCAGGCTGATCAACAGATGTAGCCATCATACTCTGTTTGATCCAGGCCGGAAGTTTCCCGTTGATATTGGGTCTACCATACCGTTTGTCCATCAACACAATGGCGGCGTAGTCGTTGCGATGCCTGATAGCTCGTCCGATGCATTGGTTCACTGCCCGCATGCAGGCGTTCTCGTAATATTCTCTCCCTGCAGCTTTGGCGGCTGACAGGCGGCTGGCTTCGGAACCAACTGCTTCACACAACGCCTTCTGCTCGATGTACTCAATTTTAGCTTGCCATACAGCGCTCCTAATGTTCGGAAACGGAAGTCCGATAATAAGTACGCCACGTCCGAGCCGATCGGAGAAATTGATCCCTTCCGACAGCTTCCCCCCCACCACAGACAACAAGAGCGCGCCACTGCTCGATTCGATGAGGTCGGCATACTTCTGAAGTAACTCTTCTGTCGAATCAGCCATTTCTCGTGATTCAGAGAGAATCGGCTTCTCTCGGTCGATCAGCTCGTACAAGCTCTGACCTCGCTCGCCCACCTTCAGCTTTTTCCACATGTTTATTACTTGGCCCAGGTATTCGTAACTAGGGAAAAAGGCGACAACACCATCAGGGATGACATTGCAGACTGAAGCTATCGTTCGTCCAAGGTCGAGTACCTGAGGGGTTGGTGACGGGATGCATTGGTCAGAGAAGACACGGTCTCCCATGGCTTTGTGTAGAAATCACTTACAGTCAATTCAGAGTCTCGGCAGCCGTATGTGAATTCAAGACTTGAGCCTTGTACCCCACGCCCTAGCGTATGTACAGTCAGGTTCTCGGATGGAATGACATGGCCGTAGCTGAAGGTGCGCAATCGGTCAGAGGGAACATAGGAGAACAGATGGTTCATGTAATCTGTCATCTATGGAAACTGTTAGAAAGATGTATCCGTAAGAGGATATCTAATATGCACGCAACAGGATCTTACCGGAGACATCGTTCCACCAGCCAGTATGACGGCCCTCGCATCTTCAACAATATCGCGGAATTGATTTGACGGGTCGAGAAGCATATACCTCAGCCGAATGTCACCCTTATCCTTCGCGTAGAACAGTTGCCCCTCGGCAGAAGGATTCATCAATGAAAGCAGGAATCCCTGTATGTGAAACAGTACGGGCGTCGTAGGTTTCCCAGAAGCCTTATTTCCCGTCATATCTTTTGAGGATTCTACGTACCCATCAACTTTCCTTGCCAGTTTACTCTCCTGTAGGTATCGACTGAGTTTATGTGGGTTGATCTGATCGACCCCTTTCCCAGACATGAGGTCCGAAGGCAGGACAGGTCCTTCGAGTGATTCACTGCTGGTCAGTACCGAGCGAAGGTGGTGCGTGATTGAGCCGAGCAGCCGGAGAATCTGAGCGATATAGCTCCTGTTTTGTCCTTTCAACCGGGCTTTGAATTTGCGAGCATAAGTTGTCAATTGTGCAATTGACATTTCAAATTGCGAAAGTGTCACGGTAATAGAATTGATATTGGATATTGCATCCATCAAATTATGTGCTTCATCGATGATAACAATATGACCCTTGACCGAGAGGTTGAGTGCTTCCCTGGCCGATTGCTGAAGCAGGAGAGGATATGGAAGCGTGACAATCTTCTCGTTATCAGTCGAGTGCCTGAAACAAATGGTTTGACGAAGCTCACCTCGCTGTGTTTGATTACTGAACGAGAAGCATAGTAAGGACATATGCCGATCTTTCTCCCGACTTTCCCTAAGTCCTCAATATCTTTTATTGTCGCTAGTGCATGGTCTCGAAATTGAACGGCGAGTGACTGGTCTTTTTTTGACGGCAGATATGGACATTTATGTTCCCTAGCCACACCAGGTTGCTGAAGTTCGAGACAGCGTTCATTGATTGCTGTTGGATTCTCAAGTGCAGATACTTGAGTATTGATACAGAGATTCTTCCGGGATCCGAGGGAGAGGTGCCTAATACGTTCTTCCCCTACCTCGCCTATACTGGATACCACATCTTCTGGAATACTCGAAGGCATGGCAACGCGTCGTAATTCACCTGCGAATTGAGACAACTGAGAGTGTGTCCGAGAACAGAAGAATATCTTGATCTCAGTATCCTGGTCATCGTCATCGTCGCAGTTTAGAGATGATTGTCCCCTGAATCTTTGAAGCAGCTCAAGAGTGCTGGAGGAGAGCCCACTGTTGGGGCCCAAGTGCTTCGAGGAGAGACCTGGTCGTTCATCGCCGCTATCGTATTCATCTAGAAGAAAATGGTCTTCGTGCAAGAGCGGAACAGCTGACGTCTCGCTTACTTTCTGGTGTTCGTTAACCTCATTGTTCCGTTGCTGAGACTAGACATGGAACTTACCTGCTTTTTTCGAGGCCCCTCTGAAATCTCTAAAGCGATCCTTTGTTTCTCTTCTTTGATCCTTGTCCTCTCCAATCGCTGCTCAAGTTCCTTCCTCTTCTCGAGGACCGAACGACACAACTCACCTTTCGCAAATTCCAGCATCCAGTCGGGCTCGGTGTCATCATTGCCTATTGCCGGGGTTAGAGAGAAATGGGAATTTATTGGGACTCGACTCCAGAGTGCTTACCTATAGTTTTGTCAACGGCATCGTGGAAAGCAGAGCGTTTGTGATCACGCAGCCAAGTCAAGGAACCGCATATTAGACTCAAAGATTTACCCTAGAGATACGTTAGTGGTGATGGGGTTGGACGAATTCTACCTATTGTCATAGTTTGGGGGGGAAAATAGAGATTCCACATCGAGCCTCTCAGATGTGCAGGGCGATAAATTCCTTCCGTGACCTTGAACTGTGTAGGGAGATTTTGGGGTTACTCACAGTGCCTGCCCAAACCACGTTAGCAGGGGTCGCGAGGCCTCTTTTCAGGCGCGAATTCCAACTTACCAGTCGGGGACTCAAATATTGCCACTTTACCTTCCTCAAGACAGGTGTAGAGCGCTCGCATGAACTGAAGTTGAATGTCATAAGGCGAGTAAGGGTGGTGGAATTCTTTCGTCAGCGTGTCCATCGTTGTCATGCAATTAATGCTGAGTTCAAAAGTGGACTCGATGAAACTCGACGACGAGGCGAATGGCGTTCATAGATGAAGACAAAGAGTAACTGGGTAAATCTGAGTGGTTGGCTGGTGGAGTAAGGGTCCAGAGCTGCAGTGTCAAATTCGAATACTAATACGAGTAGGTACCGAGTAAGTACTCTGTTGTCCCTTCTGAGTTACCACGAAGAACACTCAAAGAACTTTCCAGGGAAGGTCGGGACCCACACGCTCGTTTTTTCGGCAGCCCACCTAAAAACGTCATGGAGCTTACCGACCGACAACAGTGTAAATATGGATATGGTATGAGGTACCCTAGTAAGGCACCGATGGTTGAGGAGCTACGAGTAGATACTGGAAGAGAACTATATCTTGACTGCTTATTGGTCTTTAATCCTAAATATGATGGATCTTGCTCATTCAACTGCACAACACATGGATGTGGTTCGCCCCCCCCCCCCCGGGACTTCCTCAACAGAGGAACCGTCAGTTACTGATCCCTGGGCATGTCGTGCGGAGACGATGCTATCACACTGTGAACTTATTCAATGCGATGAGAGATGCGTTATGGGGGACATGGTCTGGACTGACGGGTGAACTTCAGCAAGGTCGGAAGGACACACGTCAAAGAGAGAAAGGGGTTAATCGAATTATTTGAAGTCTTATGCTATTCAAGTTGCTATTATTAGCCGTCAATTCTGGGCCACATGGTCTAACTTACTCGTACTCGTAAGGGGGGCAGATAGCCACCGACCACAGCAGTAACTATTGGTTAATCAAGTAAGTTCAACTCTTGATTTGTTGGGTTGCGAAAGCTGGGTGGTTTATCGTCTGTCCGCCCCGCTCGGGGTTTGTTGGCAAATCCATGCTTTTTCCCTTATTGAATGAGTTGCGCAGCAGTTGTTACCGATCGCATAAACTCACTGAAATTGAAAGAACAGCTCCAGAGACACATTAAAAATGCATAACAGTAAGATGGGACTAAAAACCTAGTACTGACCGGATAGAAAGGAGACTTGAGTATGCATTATGTAAAGTGAGCCTCAAGTTGGAGAAATGATACCGAACGATCAAGGCTATCACTGTACAATTTCCACCCAGATACCCAAATTGAACGGAGAAAAGCTTACTAGTGAGAGCGATGGCATTATCTTTCAGGCTGCTCTTTTTTTCCTTTTTTCTTTTCTTTTTTGCCAGATAGATGGTACATTCTATTTCTGACGGCTGATGAACCGCACGTTGGCTGTTGGGCAGTGTTCGGCCCCAATTATCTACTTGGACGGACATGTTACCATTTCAATGTGGTAAGATTGGGGCAGTATGAGCTACTTGGGTATAGTACATTGTATCGTACATGTAATCTCAATGATTCCTGTACCTATCAGTTGCGAACTTCCAGAAGAAGCCCTTGCTGGCTTTGTGTTCGCCCCTCTCCTTTGGTATTGTTATTATTCTTGTTCCTTAGCTACTAGACATTCACCCCCGCCCTAAAAATTCCCCCCTCACCCCCTCTCCGAGGCTCTCCGTTCCCCTCCACTTAGGAAGAAATGAACTAGTGCTAGTAGGAGGAAGTAAAAATTGATAGTAGTAATATTCATTACTCGGCAATCTCCACGCCGCTGCTGTCCGCGCTCAGCCTGGATCTTCTTTCTTCCTTTCGTCCCTCCCCACCCACCCTTGGCTTTTTATTCAATAACGTCTTGTGAATCGTCAAACCAGGAGTCTTCGCCATATATTACGGGCTTTTAGTCTGAAACCATTTAATTGTCAGGGGTAAGGAAGAACGGATACAGCGGGAATAAAAAAGAAAAAGAAAGGAAAGGAAAGGAAAGAAAAGCAATAGTTCAAGGTCGGAGAAACACCCAGGCCGCGATGAATAGGCCACCACAAGGTCGTGGTCAGCCACGGCTGGGTGCGACATGGTATCCAGGGGGCCAGGACGATTTTTACATGCCAGAAGTCATATCCCCTTCTCCTCAAAGGTACGAAATCGCCGCAACTCCTGGAACAAATAATTAATCATATCTTCCCCTCAAACTCCCCTCTCCTCTTAGCGTCCCTTCCTCTTGGTTGTGTTGCTAATCATTCAATCATATCCTGGTTCCAGCAGAGTCATGCCCGAGGTACCGGAGAATATGCAGGACAACATAGCTCATCTCGAGCACGAAGCTCGAAACCCCCACCACAACCAGTATGAGCGATCTCGCTTCCCCGAGCGAACCTCGTCCGCCGTTGCCCAAGACCAACCTTACCCGTCGGCCTACAATCCCGCCCATCACGAGCAGCAGAACGCCGCTCACGATACCATGGATGCACCTAATTTCTCCCCATTTCCTGTCCTGCGGAATCCCCCGCCAAACGTCCCTCCGACTGATGAGCAGAGGGAAGCCAATCTGAAGCGAGCCCGAATGGCGGTGCTCTCCTCAAATGATCCGGAGATGCAGCTGGCCTGGGCTCAAGACGCGCTCGCTTTTGTCGAGGTCGCTATGCAGAATGAGGCCCGTTTGTCCCTGATCCAGCCCCCGCGACCACAGACGCCTCCGGTGGAGCGCCAGCTCAAACTTGACGCGATGAATATCGTGAACTTCCTCGCTGAGCAACATCACCCCAAGGCCGAGTTTATCAAGGGCATGTGGCTTGAGTTTGGCAAGTTTGGATATCGGGTGGATAAAAAGGAGGCTTTCCGATCCTACTCGAGAGCTGCGGACAAAGGATATGCCAGAGCCGAGTATCGGATTGGCATGCAGTTTGAAAGTTCTGGTGAGCCGGAGAAAGCCATTAGGCATTATGAGAAGGGTGTTGCCCTCGCAGACTCCGCTTCATTCTATGTATGTCCCCCTGACAAGGTCAGACCGGATAGTGCTAATGAGATCAATGGCTGTAGCGCCTGGGAATGATGATTCTTTTGGGTCAGCATGGTCAGCGTCAGGATTACCAGATGGGACTGGAATATATTAGCCTCGCAGCCCAGTCCTGCGACGAGAATGCCCCTCAGGGAGCCTATGTTCGTTCGATCCTCTTCATTACTCATTTAGCTGGGAAGCTAACATCTATGCGCCCAGGTCTATGGCATGCTGCTGGCCCGCGAGTTGCCGCAGGTCAATGTTCCCGAGAGTTACCTTCCCCTTGATCTCAATGCCTCCCGCGTCAACATAGAAAAGGCTGCGTATCACGGCTTTGCAAAAGCACAAGTCAAGATGGGTGCGGCCTATGAGCTGTGCCAACTCGGCTGCGACTTCAATCCTGCCTTGTCTCTGCATTACAACGCGTTGGCTGCACGTCAAGGTGAACCAGAAGCAGAGATGGCTATCAGCAAATGGTTCCTTTGTGGGCACGAAGGTGTCTTCGACAAGAATGACGAATTGGCGTTCACTTACGCTCAACGGGCCGCTCAAAGCGGGTTTCCCACCGCCGAATTCGCCTTGGGATACTTCTACGAGGTAGGAATCTTTGTTCCGGTGGACATCAAAGAAGCTAGAAGCTGGTATGCCAAAGCTGCCGCCAATGGGAATAAAGACGCGACCGGTCGCATCGACAGCATCTCTCGCTCCAAGACCTTGTCCAGAAAGGATCACGAACAAGTGGCGATCGCCCGAATCAAGTCGCGCTACGGATCCGGTCAACGAGGACCTCCGATGAAACCGACTCCGGAGAACATCGAAATGCCTGATCCGTCCAGGATGACTCTCTCGGATAATCCATCGGCCGCTGCTCCCTATCCTGACAGGCCTTCGTCCCGGGCCCGACCTGTGTATCCACCAGGGTATGGAATGCCTGACCCACGTCCTAGTTCTGCCTTTGGGATCAATCCGAACATTCGCAACACTGCTCCCACTTATAACCGTGCAGCGTCTTATGGGCCGGGACCGATGGGCTACCGGACTCCAGGACCCAGTACTCCCTCCACTGCCAGCCCTACCAGCCCAGCACCCACTACTCCCAAGCTTGATATTGGCTATTCGGCACCACTCGAAAACCCCAACGCAGATGCCCGCAGACGTCCCCAGCGGCTTGACAACATGCCTCCAGACCGCAGACCCGTAAGGGCCCCAGCCTCTCCTCATGCGCAAGGTGGCCCAACGGGTTCCCCTCGGCCAGCTGTTTCGCCTTCCACCACAACATTCCCCCCACGTACGGAGTCCATACCGTCATCAAATGCTTCATCAATACCCAAGCCTCCACTGTCTTCGTCCACGCCCAAGCCATCTTCAGCCGCATCCACGCCCAAGCCGACCCCACCGACGTCTAGTGCTGCCGGTCAGAAACCTGCTGCTGCTGCATCCGCCAAGCCGCAATCTGGTCTCCCGGGTAAAGGCCCCAAGACCTTCGAGGAAATGGGGGTTCCAGCTGTACAGAAAGACAATGATTGCGTATGTTTCCATCCTATTGCAGTCGCCTACTGGTGATAGTAGCAGCTAACGGGTTTTAGATTGTCATGTGAGATACCCCTACACCAACTCTCCCGTAATCGTCTATTCGCTGTGCTATATCTGGAAAATCTTACCAAGAGTCTTGTTGACTTTCTTCGCCTTGCGACATGCAATTAAGTTCAAGTAGCGTGATAATAAGGGCCATGAAGAGGCAGCGTACAAACCTAGTCTTGAATAGGAGCAATATATGTTCTTTGGGATTTATGCCCATGCTAGAACTCTAACCACATTCGTTGTACTTCCCACTCGCTCACCTGTGTCAAGAGATGCCGCCGTCGAAGAAGGGTCCATTCATTTGCAGGGCCCCAGGTCACCATGTACGAGATTCCGGACTGTCTTTCCAGGTATTTACTAGCATTCTTGCCGGTTGCGATGTACCCAAATTTTTGTCTTTTTTGAATGCAATTGGAGATGTGATCATTACTCTGTTCTGGGTGCCGTCGTAGCCTCGATCTCATTGCTTCTTGTGCACGTGACGGGACCGTCGAGGTTATCTCATTCCTCTTGATACCTCTCTCCTGGCCTCTCCTCATCTCAACACATGTGTCCTTGCTGCGTCGGTAGCCCAACCGATGTTCAATAGTCATGACCTCCAACAAGGCAAAAGGATCCGACGTCACTCGTAGCGACGGTGAGCGTACAAGTTTCCCTTGGAGGCATGGGAAGCTAATATCTTACCGGCGTGGAGCTACCAACGACGGCGTTGAAGTTATATTGGACTATCTTCGTGCGTATCCATCCGGGTCTCACTGTATGATTGTACTCTCAGCGTCTAATACGACGGCTAGAGAGACAGAAGTACGGCTAGACTTCCCAAGACTCGACTACTTTTACTCGTCTGAGGTATGACAGCTAATTGTCGGCCGTGGATCATGGATGCAGTCGTCCGTATTCGGTATGTAAGTGAAGTAGGATACAATTCTCGGAGGGGTCAGACTTGCTCCCTGCTAAGGCGATATAGGCTATCGAGATATCAATAAATCTGCACCAAAAGGTCACGAAGGGTAGGCCCTATCCTGAAGTCTACCGGGAATACTAGGACTCATTCCACGTGCCCTGCCATTTTCCATAGCGTACGCCACCAGAACCTTACGAGAGTTGTGGCATAACAAGCAGATAGAAGGACGAACAGCAGGTAAGTGGAGATGCTACTGATCTCATGTCGAGGAGTACCGACAGTACTACGCTCATGATTCTTCCTAACTGATAGGAAAACAAGTGGTGTATCACGCCTTACAAGAGGCTTCCAATGAGACCACATCAGAGACCATTGCAGCCCTAGACCAACACATTGACCAAGTTCAAAAACAGTTTTCCTGTCTTCAAGCCCAGGAGAAAAAGGCACGGGTCGAGTTGGCCGCCCTTTGTGCGAAGCCCTTACATTCTGAGCTTCGCCGAGATATCAGTCAACTTGAACAAGAGCAAGCCGCGGCTCGGGCACTTTGGCTCACGACAAAGGGAAATGATTCGATGCACGTGCATGTTCAGACAAGAGCGGGCGCTGAAGAAGCGTGGAAGCGCTGGCAAAAGCACGCTAGCAGTCGCGGTCGGATCTGCCGTGATTTATGGCAAAAGTGCTCAGAAGCGTTGCCAGGTGACAAGTCTCGGGATGAATTCTGGGTAAGGCCGTTATATAGTCTCCATTCCCAGTTGTCTTTCTGTTCTCATTGTTGGATACAGGAATCCCTGGGGTTGGAAGGGCCTTCGTTGAGCTGATTGAATGACGCTTGCGGTCGAGACTAAATTGGCGGAGAAGTCTGAGAAGAAACATGGTATGCACTTCTAGAGCTACAACGTCTATGGGAAGATGACTGACCACGGCAGTTTCCGTCTCAGTAGCGAATGTCACCACCAACTTACTCGGTAATCTGGCAAACTGCGGGGGAGAAGAACCCGGTCGATGATCGGCAGCCGATCCCTGGTCTTGAAAACGCGTGCGTGCAATTTGACGTAGGTGGAACGCACTAGATAAGCTGTGTGTATTGTGTGGTTCCGGTACCTTGTAGGGAGCAAGCTTAGAAACGAAAAGGGCCGAGGGGAGAACGAAGAAGAATACATGTAGTCAGATCATGTAGTCATATGAACATTTCAGTCATCCGAGCATGCTTCTTCTTGATTTTGCGCCATTGTAGCAAGGACCAACCCGAGGACCCAAGCATGAAGGAGGTCAATTGAGTGGAACTTGCATACGAGGGCATGAGGGCAAGGCTCAGGAAGAATGATTGGCGCCATCAACTGAAGATGCCTGTTGAGAGATGATACTTACGAGGGGTAAGAGGAATTTTCTGGTGGTTGTGATGATGGTGGTAGTATTTGAGCAAGTAGTTGAGCAATGAAATGACTACTACCAGGGTAACTAGTAACTTAGTAGTAATAGAAGTAGTTAGTAGTTAGTGATAGTGAGCGACTTTTCCTGCTTCACCGCCCACGAATTCCCCTCCCTCAGTCATCCCGAGGACTTTGATTCACTTCCATACATCTCTCGCTCCCCGTCTCTCTTTTTCTTTCCCCCCTCCCTACTTTCTGCTCCTCGACCCAATCCCTATCTCTATACCGATAACCACCTCGGAGTCCCGCGTGTTGCTGCGCTGCCATCACCTCTAGGCTCTGCCCATCTTGGCGATGCAGCCGTCGGCATCCCGCAGCCCTCCTCCGCCTACTCAACCTCCTTCCCCTCCTCATTCCACCACCACCACCACCACCTCCTCCTCCTCCTCCGCCTCCGCCTCCTCCTCCTCCTCCTCCACCATCACCACCACCACAGCTACCCCCGCCAACCCTACTCCTACTACCATCACTTCTCCAACGAACATCACCACGCCATCCTCCACCACAATTACCGCCACTACTTCCGCTTCTTCTCCGTCCTCCTCCTCTTTCACTACTGCCGCCATCCCTCCGGTTTCTCACTCTTCAACTCGCACCTCGCATCGCTTTTTGAGTGACATGAAAGGTCGCGCGCCTCTCCCGGTCCCCTCCGGTCCTCAATCGCTCCAGAACGGCCATTCCCGCACTCCGTCCGGCTTCGACATGGCTGCCCGCAGCCCTCCCAATCAGAGCAGTTAGTCTTTCACTTCTTGTTTCCATCTAATTCCCGCAGCACTCCCCTCTTCCTTCCCCCCACCCATCGTTCTCGTACAACACGGTTGAGAGCGCTTTTCACTGCTCTGGTCTGGTCTCTTCCTTACACACTTCCTTCTCTTGGGTTGTTGATCTCCCTGTATTTTTCTTTAATGGATGACCAATTGCTAACATAGTCAAAAACACTCCGACATAGATACCAAGCATGTGCCTTGCAAGTTCTTCCGTCAGGGTGCTTGCCAGGCCGGGCCTGCATGTCCATTCCTTCACTCCACTGATGCAGCAATAGACTATGCGCCTTGTAAATATTTTACTAAGGTACGAAATATCTGGGCCACCCACTCCGGGCTCTATGTTGTGAAATCCTCCCTTTGTCAGCTGACGGCTTGTGCTTCGGATCCAGGGCAACTGCAAATTTGGAGCGAAGTGTGCGCTGGCGCATATTCTGCCTGATGGCCGGCGTGTCAATCGTCCCAGTCCGGGAATGGGAATGGGTGGCGGCCACCTGAATTTAGGCGGTCGTGTTAATCCGCAAGCCTATGTGAATCAAGACTCTGCGTTGACCAACTCGGTTCTGTCGCAGCAGCGAATGAACGGCCAGGACCCAAGATATGCCCCCCAACTCCCGCCTCAGGACGAATACACTGCCCTGCAGTCACCACCGTCGCAACAACCGCCCTTTGATGCGATTCCCACAATTGATACCGGGTTGACGTCCGACACTAATTCCAAGTACGGGTCTCCTGTCGATGATGTACGATTCCCTATGTCACCCAGTCACCGCCATCTGACTGCCCTTGATGCCCCACTTCCTGCGTCTTTCGACAGCCAAGGCATTTCGCACGCCGCTCGCTATGGCCCAGTTGCGGCTTCCATGCCATCAAAGTTTGGGTTGGAGCTGTCGCCTCCAGCACAGAGGATAGGCGCACCGTCAGATACCCTTCGGACCCTTCGAGACACAGCGTACGGGTCCGATCTCAGAAAATCATCTTTCATTGGGTCATCCCCTCCCACTCTGCCAGAGGATGGATTGGGACCACGTTTCCTGCATTCCCAACGGCCCATGAAGACACGAATGTTGTCTGCAAGTGTGCCGCGACCTACAGCTCTAGATGACTGGGACGATAGCAATTTTCCAATGGAAGAAGATTACTTGCCGATAAATCTGCACGACGATGTTCTTACCCCGCAAGAGCGACTTCGGCGTCTTTCGCGCACGGACCACGATTTGAGTTCCAGCCACCGCGAGCTCAACGGCTTGGGCATGACCGGCACCAGTTTCTCCAAAATTGGCTCTCCCCTGGCGTCCAGTCCGTCTCGGTTTGGGGCCTTGTTCGCCAAGCAGCGGCAAAAGCGGGAGGAAGATGCACACGGCACTTCTCTTTCACACATCGGCTCGCCTTTGCGGGAATCTTCATTGAATTTAGGCACCAGCCCTAGCCTGGGCCCAATTGGTAGCCGGCAATTCTCTGGAGACATCTCTCCGTTTGTTGCGAGTGCTCCTCGCCAAACATCAATGTCCATGATCTCGCAGCAGCTCAGTGGCATGTCTCTTCACCCCGGCCCCCCTCGCTACTCGGCATCTGCAGGCCCGAGCAGCCGCTTGGACCGTACTGTTTCATCGCCGGTAAGCACCAGCAAAATCGACGAAGAGCAAAGCGACTTGGTTTTCTCCATGGAAGAGGAAGAGAACAACAAGCGAAATAGCAGTTCCTGGGGGGCCCAAAAGGCAGATTCGAACGACGATGTGCCCACAACCACAAGTAACCCAGAGTTTCAGCCTTGACCTTCCGCAGTTATCATCGGAGGCTGATCTCGGTTTGACCTCTCGCCAATCTAACCCTGGTCGCAGAAGGACCTCGAAGCATGTCTTGGGGAAACGCAAATTACTGCCTGGTCGAAAAAAAAAGAAGATTCCAGCATCATAGGTGGGCACCAGTCCATAAAGAGGTACATATATGTCGTCATTCAAGACTACACCAAACAGTGGAGGGCATTTTGCATGGAACAGTTGATTGATTTCTGGAGTTATACTGCATCCGCCACTCACATTCGCCACCATGCGTTACATTCATGATTTGTTAGACATGTGATGATTCTGCCACGAGGCCGTGCTGTCCCTATCTTGCTTCTTCAAACCACTTCATCTCTCAACTTATTTGATTTTCGACTCTATCCTGAACCTTTTTGCCACTTGTGTTGGTCATTACACCATATCACCATCATGTCTGGCACATCATCTCCAAGGGTCGCGAATCAGGCAAAAGCAACATCCAAGCAGCAGCAGCAGGAGTACCATTGTTTCCTTCGTCTAGTGTACATTTTACTTGCATCTATCTCCCCATACTCCTTCACCATCTGTTCTATTTTCTCACTGTCTCTGCTTGTCTTCTGCTTCTGATCTACTGGCCTGTAACGAACGTGTCAATGATGTAGTCACGTGAAGCTGTGCCTCTCGTCGTTATGTAACTCTGCCTTTCACTTGCTATGTCAAGGTTCAATAACAACCATGTAGATATGAAAATATGGGTTAATATGCGGATTCCATCGGTTCCCTCTGTTATTTATACAAAGGGTATGACTTTGTTGAGGCGCCTTCGTGGAAGTCGTTGACTTATCGGTAGAAAGCGCTACATAAATCTAAACAATGAGTTCTACGGAGAACGTAAGAACAGTTTTAGAGAAGTGATATATCCCTTGCAAAAATAAATGGAACCTGCGCTAGTGTACACGAATAACTCATTCGACCGCCTGAGGCCCAATGCAGAATTTGATCAGGTCAGCCACTGTTCACTTGACGGAAACAATTGCCGGTGCGGTGGTTTGTTGTTGTCCGCCATCCAGAAGGAGGGCGTAGTCCACAGTACTATGTCGACACAAAGTACTTCTCTTACCGTCAGCTTTTAGAGTCAGCATCAGCCATATACATGGCACTACCTTTAAGACTAATGAATTTTGCGTTCTGAGAGTGGGCTTGGATATGCGCCGTCTTTTCGCGCGAAATCTGATCGGCGGTCTTCCACTGCTCGTGCGCCATAGTATCAGCTTGTCTGGCAGTTTCTGCTCTGTCCTGATACAAAATCTCATAGAGCTTATCTGTACCCGCTTGAATATGACTTGTCATAGTGTCCAAAGCCTTGACTGTAAGCATCTCCACCTGTGTCGCAAGAGCATCCTTCTCATCCGCTCGCTGGCGCTTGGCGATTGCCTTCTGTGCCTCTTGGTCCTGGGCTTCCTTGCGTTTCTTGGTCTCCACTACCCTGCGCCGCTCCTCCTTTGCGGCTAGATATTTGAGTGAATGACCCAGTTTCTGTTGATAGGATGGAATGATGTCTAGCGGTGGGGCCGAGAAAAACAGTACATGGCCTTGGTCATCACAGTGAAACTGTTCACGAATGTCCGCCGGAATCGCAGCGTTTGCAGTATCACTTAGATGAAACACTTCAATGGGACGAGGGGCGTTAGGATTGAAAGAATTTGCAGGAGGGCCGTGTAGGCGGTTCGCTTGCAAGGGCATATACGGTGTTGATTGCGTGGTTGAGAAGGGATGTGACACAACTGGCGCTTGGTAGGCACCGGGATGAGGGGTTTGCGGCACGAATCCGCTGGAACGCCTCGATGACCCATGCTGGTAGGGCTGACTCGGAGGAACCCGAGGCTGAGAGAAAGCCATCGGCGGCACCGAAGCTGGCGAGCTCTGAGGCGGAGGCATGGGTGCAGCTGGCGAGCGGGCCGTAGCAGGTAAGGCGCCCGCCACAGCGCCTGTACCTTGAGACTCTACACTTGAACGTGGAGGGATTTGGCTGATTGATGACTGTCGAAGGGAGGCTGGGGGCAGAGCTGGATGGGGCAGCGACGGAGGCGGGGTAGGGGTGGGCTCCGGAGGAGGTGATTCCTAAGAAGAAGATGGGGTCAGTTTGGTTCACGGCTGCGAGCTTTTTAACGGCCTTACATTCTCGTCACGCGGGCGGCAATGGACCGCGCCAACAACAGGCGGGGCATTTTCTGCTCCCCAGGTTGGCTTTGGGAGGTCATCGGTTTCCTTCGCATCGCTTTTCAGCAAATGTTTGATGGGGCTTGGGATCTTCTTGATCCGCCGAGGAACATTGAATAGATCCATCTCGTAGTCCCTCTCCCTGACTTCGTCGGGAAGGCAGCTGGCCCATGTCTTGATCTTGTTCAGTTTATGCTTCTCTTCATTGTAGCGAGCCTCGCAAACGTAGACATCTTTGTTGGGAGGCAGGCCTCGAGGCCGTCCACGATTATAGCGAGTGAAGAACATGACAAAACATCGGTCGACAATCTCTTCGACCCGATGGTCGCGATATTGTCCTGTCTTTACTACCTCGTTAGGGTAGAAGTGCTTCTCCACGTGGTGAACCGTCTGCTCGGGGCGATAGTACCAACACGCGTTAACCCATTTCTCTCCCTCCGAATCCTGCCATGTACGATATATCTGTGCCACAATAGGCTTTGTCACATCGTTAGGATTCTGGATATGGACCCAATCTCCAACTCTCCATAGTTCAGATTTGTATAGGATACCATTCGGCAAAGGCAACCGCCCATCTTCCATCAAGTACTCGCTATCTGGCTTCTTCTTCTCGAGGTCGGCAAGTCTTCGCGCTTCCAACTGTAAATCAACCGCGTCCTTGTAAATCTGGCTTTCGGGCTGATTGTAGGCCTTGGCGTTGTTGAACATGAGCTCCATATCTCTCATGAAATGGTCTACCGAGTTGTATTTCTTTCTCTTTGATTTCCGTTTGATCATGTCGATGGCAATAGGTTCCTTGATTTCGATATAATAATCCGGATACATGGCCTTGTCGGGTAAGCGCTCGAAGTGTCGCACTTTGAGTTGATTGCTAGGTCCTTTAAGCTTTCGGATCCCCTTGAGGACTGCCTTAATCCTGGCTTCCATAGGGGTGTCAACGCGCGGTGGCCTGCCTCTTTTCTTCCTCACTTCAGGGTCATTCGACTTCTGGCCATCGTCTTTTGCCCCATCCCGTTTGCTACCTGGACGAGGTCCCCGTTTCTTCTTGCGTCGACCTTCTTCGTCGGAATCCTCTTCATCATCCTCGTCGTCATCGTCGTCATCTTCATCCTCTTCCTCATCGGGGAGAGGATCTGCTTCGGGAATCTCCCCAAGGTCAGGGAGTTCGGCCTCTTCTGCGGATATAATACCTTGCTTCACCAATTTTTCAAACTCGGCAATAAAGACATCCTTGATGACTAGTGCATCCTCATAAGCTTGAGACTTAGGACGGTTGTATGTCTGTGCATTATGAGGGATCTGGGATCAAGGCCAGGTCAGTTCCCAACGATTATTGGGCCTTGTGGGAAAGAATTGGATTATCATGTGCGGCACAAAGATATTAGACGCGCTACGTACCAGAGCACAATCGCGCACGAATTCAGAGAATCTCTTATAATCGCGTTTGTTGATTTTTTGTTTCAAGATGCTGAGCGCCATCGGCTCCTTAATAATGTCATAATAGTCAGGCACGAGACGCTTATTGACACTGCGTTGGAATAGTTTAGACGGGTCATGACCACTAGGTTGATTGAAAAGTAAACAATTAGCTGGCTGAAGTTGCGGCGTTGAAGGTGCGACACAAAGCGCAACAAGTTGTGGTAAGTTGCTGCCACGAGGAATGCAGGACTCACTCTTCTTCTCTGAACTCATATATCGCCATGACAACATCCATCATGATCCTTAACTGTTCATCAGAGACCGTGCTGTGCGCAGCCAAGCCCCCGCGTTTGCCATCATCCTCGATTGAGTTCACTGGCTCTTCAGCAGCAGGTTGCGCTTGCGACGGCTCGGAGATGTTTGTCTCCATCTTTCACGATGGCCGCGACCACGGAGAGAGAAACCGCGAATCAAAACCAAACAAATTGGGCCAAACTACTACGAACGTGAGCCAGGTATTTGGGTTCAACAATTGAGGATGCTAGGAGGGGACGCGAAATAGAAAGAGAGTGAGCGCAAAGAAGCCAGAGAGGGACGAAATCACTCTGCGACTATGATGAGTCAGCTTGTGTATCATTCCACTGTACAGTACATACACGGAAGATAATGTACAGTACAGTACAATACAGCAAACGGTACAAATGACTGTGGTCTATCAGTGGTTGAGATCCATATCGTCGTCCATGGTCAACTTCAGCATTGTGCTTTTGGACTTCAAGGGCTTAAGGAGCCTAAGGCCTGACCATTCGTTATCTTTCATATTTGTCTACTCCTTTCATATCATTCTCGAGATTCGATACAGCTTAGGTCCTGGTCTCAAAGATTCCGCGGCAAGCCTCCGTGTTGTGTATGTGCGGTTATATATCCGAGGCTTCAGAGGTGGGATCTCTAATGCGAAGCGTTGCCTCCTCTAACAAAGCGATTGGAAAAGCTTGTTGAAGTAGGCCCATCGCTACTACTCTCTGCCATGGCTGCGACCCTGGTGCTACTCGTGAAATGAGTGTTGTTGCAGGTTGCCACCAGCGAGACCTGCCCCACCTTCCGGGCCATCGTCGATACGTAGTCTACCTCAACCCATACATAAGGTTAGGTGTTCATCCATACGGATCGAAGCAACATCTGCTCAACTCAGTGCAGCGCTACACCTTATACTGCCCAGTGAGTGGTCAAGAGCCACACAGGCACCCACGAACAACCACTTTTTTTTTCTATTCGACTGCCCTTCTACCATCACCTTAAGCGATAATGAGAATCCGAATACGCGGTCCGACTGGACAGTCGACCGTCTTGTTGGATGACGACGCAACTGTCGATGTACTCCGCCGTCGGATCACGGAGTCCACCGGACTGGCGGATTTTGATGTGAAATACGGGTACCCACAAATCAAGACTCTCTCTCTAGATGGCATCACACTACGCCAGAAGCTCTCCGATCTGGGGCTGAATCTGAATGGGGAACAACTAATTGTCACGAGAAGAGAAGGCAGCGCCCCCTCAAACATTGGCCGCGATCAGCGCGAGATGACAACTGCCGGACAACAGTTCTCCAGGAAGCCGCCTATCCATGAGGCACCAAACAAGGGCTCTGATGACCCGCCAGAGATTCCATCGCCAGAACATGATGGTATTTTTGTTCTTCGGATAATGCCTGACGATAACTCGTGCCTATTCCGCGCTATCAGTAGCGCGACCATGGCAGGTGTGGATGTCATGACCGAGCTACGGTCTGTTGTTGCTCAAACAATTCAGACGAACCCCGCCATATATACCGAGGCGGTTTTGGAAAGGAAACCGGACGACTACTGTCGATGGATCCAGAGTGAGGACTCCTGGGGCGGAGGGATTGAGCTCAGCATTTTGAGTAAACATTTTGACATTGAGATCTGCTCAATTGATGTGCAAAGCCTGCGAGTTGATCGGTTCAACGAGGGACCCCCTATGCGGTGTATCTTGGTCTATTCGGGTATTCACTACGATACTATTGCTCTATCACCCTCAAGCCCTCCGTATACCCATGCAAATGCGCCCCCGGAATTCGACACCAAGGTCTTCGATGCTGCTGACCCTCTTGTCCTCGAAAAGTCTCTGGCACTTTGTAAGGTTCTGCAAGGGCAGCATTATTATACCGATACCGCCGGATTCCGTCTTCGCTGCAATATCTGTGGTGGAACATTTGTGGGGGAGAAAGGCGCTACGCAGCACGCAGAACAGACCGGACACGTTGATTTTGGAGAGGCTGGCTGAAAGTGATGAGATCCTCCATCCGGTATAGACTTAAGTATGCCCTGCAGGCTCAGGTTCGCGGTAAATATAGAACAAACTGTCACAATGATCAGTCGGCCATCAGTTGCCAGTAAATAGGCTCTCTAAAGATACCATACGCGTCGAACTTCGCAACATTGGCCAGTTTGGCGCATTATCAACCTCGTTGGTTCATTGACGGCTCTTCCCTTACATTCCTGTCTTCGATCGCTCCTCCAGCTCCTTCTGGTGGCGCGCTCCGGATGAGTCACCGCAAAAAAAAAAAAGGTATAAGGGCATTTAGAATGGCACTGTAACTGGTAAGATGATCATGGTATGAAGCCTAGGTGACTGATGAGTATTCTTCGTTATACATATTTTTTCTAGGATATTTATATCATTGCTACCTCATCTGCTGCATCGTCTGCCTCATCATCATCTTTATCGCCCTCCTCGCCAGTATCACCGCTATCATCTGGATTACCTCCCCACTCCACATCGTGATCTATAGGATCAGTGAAAAATTCGTGCTGCAAGGCCTCTTTAGCACTGAGACGCTTGTAAGGGTCCAGTTCCATGAGCCCAGCCAAAAGACGGGTGGCTTGCTTTTCACTCTCAGTCAGCTCCTCCACACAGCTCGCCCATTTCACTAGTTTCTCCCAACTATAACCCTTTTCCCCTATAGTCGGGATGTTGGTTTCAAATATCTGCCCATGCATGGCTGCCGCAAGCTTCATACGGCGTGTGCCAAAGATACTAGCCATCTCGATCATGGCGTCAACATCATCAGCTGAGTTGAAGAATGGAAACCGACGACCGAGTAACGTCAGGAGAATGACGCCAGCTGACCACATATCGATCTTCGTTGTTTGTGAAGTGCATTTCAGTAGCACTTCGGGTGCGCGGAATCCCCGGGTTCCTGCTCGATTAGCACGCCTCGAAGGTCGGGAGTCATTCTTTGGGTAGCCCAGAGCCGTGGTATTTAGAGATGAGGCGCAATGGGTGTAGTAATAGCTTTGGAGAAATCGGCTGCGGCGTATCTGGCTTGTATTTGCACACAAACAAGTACCAGTGTACTCGGAGCCTTCGCGCTGGAATAGTGAGTCAGCGACTGATAATTAGTGAACCCCTGTGCGCCTATACTTACTTCTGCAAGACCAAAGTCGACTAGTACTCCCTCTCGGAGTTCGGGATTGTACAGAAAGTTACTGTAAAAGCCAACGTGATGATCAGTACCTTTCGAACTGACTGGGGCATCGGGGGCGGACCCGGAACGCAGGTGTTCTTACGTCGGCTTTATATCACGGTGGAGGATGTTGTGCTTGTGGACTGAATGTAAAGCGGTGAACAAGGATCGGAAGTAATGTCTCATATCCGCAACCATGAACGTACGATATTGGATACGGAAATCGGTATGCGGGAAGAAGGGCAAGACTGCTACGACCTGATCCTGATAGCGGAAAGCAGTGATTAAGGGACATACAGATCGACAGCCTCGGAGATCGTGCAGCAATTCAAGTTCGTTTTGGATGCGGAGAGGACTGCTTGTGACATAGATCTTCTTTAAAGCAACAAAGCGTGGTTTTCGTCGCCTCGCGGGAAATGGGTGACTGTTTCCTTCCTCCCCCCGGCGTCGCTTCGTGGGATGGTTCGTCCAATTGTCGTCCTGGGCGTTTTGGAACGTATCCCAGTCATTTCGATAGTGGTCGTACAAGAGATCCTCCGCCTTATAAACCGTGGAAAAGGTTCCTAGTTGATCACCATACCAAGTTAGAGGATCTTCAGCATAACCGGGAAACATCTTCAAATGATCACGGTCAATCCACGCCATACCTTCACCTATTCGGTTGACAAGTCGGAATCGATCAGATATCCCTGGAAACGTATCTTCCAACCGCTTCATGTCCTCTTTCACGGACTCGTCGACATCTTCCTCATCGTGAGGGTCAAATTCCTCCAGGCCATTTTCCTCTGGGGTATCCTCCAGAGACGAATCGCTATTTGCCATGATATTATCTCTTTCGGTATGATTGGGCACCGTGAGAGCCAGTTCTGGCCGCTGAGCACTAAAAGTCCCAGCGGGCACTGCATGGAAGGCGGACATGGCACCAAAGCGCGCGCGACAATTATTGGCGATTGGCGCGACTCTTAACTTTAGGGCCGAGGATGGATCGGTCACTTAGGCTGGCATGCAAGCGATTGAGCTCTGAGTAGTGAGATACTGAGATGCAGAGGCAGATTGGATTCTTGCAGTCTGGGATAGTAAAGTTAGAGGATAATGTTTCTTCTCGGAATTAGCAATCGATCTATATCTTGCCGCGGGTTGCAAATCACTGGGCGGAGGAGGGTCCGGAGACGCTCAAGGCCGGGCGCCGGCGGTGGTGCAAAAATTACCCGTTCTAGTATGGTGGTGTTTTGTTTATCGTTCGGCGCGGTTCCCGACCGTACGGAGAAACTTTGAAATACAATATCGCCTACGCAATCAAGGTTAGATGGTACATGTACTCGGTATTGTGTTGTCCTAACCTTATCGGCACCCAAAGGAGAAAAATACAAACAAACTCACCCACCTAACTGACATTCGCCCGTCGCCTTGAGGTTTGGTTTTCTCTGGCCCGCTCCTCCTCCCCCCCTCCATCCATTTCCCCGCCAGAACAAGGCCAGCCAACCTGCGCAACATCCCTTCATCTTGCTTTTCTTCTTCTCAAACAGCTCGCGTGTCCTGCGAGGGCTTTCCTCGCTCGTCACCAATATGGAAGATCGCATCCAATTCGATATTAATGAATCGCTCAAGTTTTATCTGAGCGATCCGGCCTCCGTGCCTACGCCAGATGCCGATCCCGAGCTGCTCGACTGCGAAACAGATCCAGATCAACTATCGCCCGCCATAATCGACAATGTTCTCAATCCGATTGTGGATGCGGTCGCTGAGAACCCGGAAGGTCTCGCTCGGGGTTCCTTTTACGATTCGTTGCAATTCCTGTTAAAGTGCGCCGTGGACCCCAAACATCTCCCTCGAAGATTCTTTATCCTTCGTAGATCTGGCTCTAAACTTTTGATTTCCAACAGATACTCCGTCTTTTCGCCCACACGAACTTTGAGCAAACTACTCGATCTGATTGTCTCCGGTCTATCGATCGAAGCAGATATCATTCATGGTGATCTTGAATCTGACGAGCCGGATGCAATCCAGCAGCACAAAACCTTGTTGGAAATGTATGGCTTTCTCCTTCAATGGGCGCTCTCTGCTGTCGAGGTTAAAGCGGCTGAGAAGCCAACGGAGACTGCTCCCACTCGGAGAGGTGCAGGCAAAGCTGCCAAACCCAAGGCCAATGCCAGGGATGGAAACTGGGACTGGACAGCGCAGATTCAGGTCGCGATGGAAACTATGTGCAAAGTAATGAAGCTTAAACTGGGCAGGATCTTCTTGACGACCTCAGACCGGGATACAGTCATCAATCTCTTCACTCGCTCAATCTATCTCATCCTCGAGAGTGAGCAGCGGGTCAAAAGCATGAGCATTCGAATGCATGCCTTCAAGGTTCTCTGCATCGCCGTGAAACACCACGGGCATGCATTTGGTGGGTTCACTCGACTTGAAGGTCATAGCGATTTCTAATGCGAATGTCTAGGAGCCCAGACTTCTATTGTACAGAGTCTGACTTACTTTGAGCATTTATCCGAACCCATGGCGGAGTTCCTGCACATTCTCGCGGAGCAATACGACTACCCCCAACTTTCTGATGAGATATTGAAGTATATAAGCGCTACCGTTTCTCCGCTCGTTGCATTGGCTAATCGAAGGCTAGGGAGCTCGGGAACAAAGAGTTCAACTCCAACGATACCCGAGGACCCAAGTCTGTGTCCTCATTCGTCATCAAGCTCTCAGAGCTGGCACCTCGCCTGATCATCAAGCAGATGACTCTCTTGGCCAAACAGCTAGATAGCGAGGTTTGACTTCCATCAACCCTGCCAGGTGTGACGAGACTCTAATATTGTTTTGTTGGCAGTCCTACACCCTGAGATGCGCAGTGATCGAAGTCTGCGGAAATCTGATATCCGACCTTAGCCGACAGCAAGAGCGAGGCGATAATTACAAAACCCAAATCAACGCCTTTTTTGACGTTTTGGAAGAGCGTTTCCTCGACATCAATCCTTACTGCAGGTGCCGGGCTATCCAGGTATATATGAGAATCTGCGATCTGGAGCAGAAGTTTCCGAAAAGACGACAAGCCGTTGCAGAGCTTGCAGCGAGAAGCCTGGAAGACAAAAGCAGTAATGTACGGCGGAACGCTATCAAATTACTTGCAAAGCTGGTCTCAACCCATCCGTTCAGTGTCATGCACGGTGGGCAACTTTCACATAAGGACTGGGCAGCTCGACTCGATGGAGTAGATGCTGAGCTAAACGCACTAAGACCCCCTGAAACACAGGGTTTTGAAGGTGGTGACGTATCGCACGTTGACAGTGCGTTGTTGGATGATGCAACTCAACTGCCAGAAGAGTCCCCATCTAAAGCGACACGTCTGACAGAAGAAGAGAAAGCAGCAGCAATGAAACATGCCGCGGAGCAGGCTGCGACGTCCGAATTACTCACACGGTTACAACTAACAAGGAAATATTATAACGAAGCTATTCGCTTCATCGAAGTTCTTCATTCGGCCTCTACTATAGTTGCCCAGCTCTTGTCGTCAAGGAACAAAAGTGAGGCCATTGAAGCCATGGATTTCTTTGTTGTACTTGACGCCTATAAGGTTGAGACTTCCCGTAGTGGGATCCGCCGAATGCTGCGGCTTATCTGGACCAAAGGAAACAGTGATGAGGGCAAGGGAGTCCAGACCCATCTCATCGACTGCTATCGGGGGCTTTTTTTCGAAGCACCGGATTCATTTAGTCCGAACGATGCTGCCAACTACATTGCACGGAACATGATCAGCTTGACCTTCGGCTCAACACCTGCTGAGCTCACTTGCCTAGAACAGTTGTTAAGTACGATGATGAAGGCAGGCCACATATCTGAGGTTGTGATCTCGAAGCTTTGGCAAGTATATGGCGTGCAAAAGAAAGACATATCCAAGACACAACGCCGAGGGGCCATCATCGTCCTTGGCATGCTGGCTTTGGCGGACCCCGAAGTTGTCATAAAAGAGCTTGAGACAATGCTGCGAATTGGTCTTGGCCATCTTGGAAGGTCCGATCTTGTGCTTGCAAAGTATACTTGCATTGCTTTACGACGAATGGTTCCAGGTCGTCAGGCCAAGTCAAAAGACACTGGCATACCTAAATTGACAAACGATCATCCAGTCCTTACCAACCTCGCGGCTATTATAGAGATCGTATCTATGAGCAAAGAGTGGTACGGAGTGGCAGAGCAAGCTATTAGTGCCATCTACGCACTGTCGAAGCATCCAGACGTGCTATGTTCTGACATTCTGAAACGGAAGACTAGATTTGTCTTTCAGTCTCATGCACGGAGGTCTTCTTCTAGGTCACCTATTGAGGGAATAGAAGAACAGCCTGGGATCACTTCACCAGATAAACAAGAAGCAGTGCCAAGAACATCGTCCGCCGGGTTGTCACAGCTGCTTTTTGTCGTTGGCCATATCGCGATCAAGCAAATTGTTCACCTGGAATTGTGTGAGCTTGACTTCAAGCGCCGCAAGGCAGAACAGGAGAAGAATAAAGTTGCGCACGCGTCGGTACAGAAAGAATCCAAGGAGGAGGAGGATGAATTAGATCTCATCGGTGGGACAACTGAAGACGACTTCACAGACGCCATGGCTCATATTCGCGAGAGGGAGCTACTTTACGGAGAGAACTCGCTACTCTCCAATTTTGGCCCGTTGGTTACGGAGATCTGCGCCAATAGCAACACATATAATGACCGTGACCTCCAGGCAGCAGCAACTCTTTGCATGGCCAAGCTCATGTGTGTCTCAGCCGAGTATTGCGAGAAGAACCTTCCGCTCTTGATAACCATAATGGAGCGTTCCGATGATCCCATAGTCCGCAGTAATGTTGTCATCGCTCTTGGGGATATGGCAGTCTGTTTCAACCATCTGATTGACGAGAACACTGATTTCCTCTATCGTCGGTTGAATGATAATGATGTCTCCGTGAAGCGCACGTGCCTTATGACCCTCACCTTTTTGATCTTGGCAGGCCAAGTTAAAGTCAAGGGGCAACTGGGCGAAATGGCCAAGTGTCTTGAAGATGAGGACAAGAGGATTGCCGACTTGGCACGTATGTTTTTTACGGAATTAGCCACCAAGGACAACGCTGTCTATAATCACTTTGTGGACATGTTCAGCCTGCTGAGCGCTGAGCGCAATCTCGAGGAGGCTTCATTGAAACGCATAGTAAAATTCCTGGTTGGTTTCGTCGAAAAGGTACGTCTGCAAGCACCACCTGGAGTTGGAGAAATTCTGACTTACCTCGTGTGAACAGGAGAAACATGCGCGACAACTTGCCGAGAAATTAGCTGCTCGCCTTCCAAGATGCGAGACTGAGCGCCAATGGAACGATGTCGCTTATGCATTGTCTCTGCTTCCGCACAAAAATGAAGAGATCACGAAGACAGTGACTGCAGGCTTTAACAGGGTCGTTACTGCCAATGCCTAAGCCGGCTGGGCTATTGTTTTAGCAGTGGTGTTTCATTCCCTTTTTTTCAAAGGGTTCTCTTCCCTTTAATTCTCTTGAAATGTTCTCACATGCTACTATTCCGGTTCGGATGGAGTTTTGAATGGACAGGCGCACCTTAATGTCGAGAGGGGTCAGTTGAAAGGCGTTTTCCCTCTTTCCTGGTATCGGGAGGAACTGGTTCGGTGTTGTCTCGTGCCGAATGACCGCGATATACCTATTTTACCGCATTTGTTTCATTCCATACATGTTTCATATATCGCAGCATTTTTCGTTCATCAGTAAGTCGCAGAAGGAGATTGTGGGCTGACTCTAGCCCTTCCTGACTGCCGCATGGTAATATTAGAATTGTCTATCTAGTCGGGGTAATCCTTGTACTATATATAACATCTGCTGAACTCAGCAATTCTCCCCTGGAGAAATAATTGATCAGCAAGTCCCACGAGCTGACAATATACCCTGTATACCTGGTCTAAAACACGTACAGGCGGAACAGCGAATAGAACAGAGCCGCAAGGTTTGAAACCAACAGCAATTGAAACAACAGAAACCAGCTGTCGAGAGCGTTGTCATTACAGTCAACCTTTCTCTGGTGTTTATGCGCCCGTTATCTCACTCTCTGGTAATCTGTAGTCACAATTATGTAACCCTTCAAGCACCCTCAGTCCTTCCTCAGTTAATTCAGGCTTACCCATGGGCGTTACTGCACCAGTGAAGAACCGAGGTTGCCATGTCTCGTTCAATTTCTGACGTTCGGCGGCCTTTTGTCGCTGACGTTCCTCGATATCCTGCTTGAGTTTGGTTGCCTGGCTGTATCGTTTGTCCAAGATGGCTTCAGTGACCCCTGACCAGAACTTTCGAGATTCGTTGGAGAGCTGCTCGTCATCAGGAGGCAGAGCCTTTGCAACCGGAAAGAGAGGAGTGATGTCAATCAATAGATTCGCCTCATTGGAGCCAGCCAAGGTGTAGAACAATTGCCCGTGCCAGGAGCCGCTGATCTTGGCAAGAATATCCCCATGGGGTACGTCTTTGATTCTCGTAACAGTATCACTGTCGGGGTTGTAGCGGAAGATGACGCCCTCAACCCTGTTTTGAGCACGGCCGATCCAACCTTCTTCCAGATATTGCAGAATGACCTTGGTGCGCGTCTGAGCGCAAGTGATGTAGCACGTATCTGAAACTGTGACAGCCAGAGCTCCTCTTAACAGCCCACCTAGATGTGCAGCCGGATGGGTCAAGTGATACTCCTCATTGTTCCTGCTTTGAACATTGATGAATATGCCCAAGTTGTGCTGGCCAGGAGTGACTCGAATGCTAGTCCCTGTGAATTTGGCACTGATTTGATCGAAGCCACGGGCAGTGATGCCTCGCACTGGACAGTCGATGTAGAAGGCTGACACTGGAGGATGATGGGATGTCTGTTCTGTCAGGTAGCATACCTTGACAAGTTCGCCGTTGCTGTCCTTCGAGCTAGAAACAGTGTCCATGACATTGGCCGTCGAAACTGGCGATACTTTTGGAAGTGTACTTTGCACGTCCCAGGTGCACTGAGGAACAATCACGGTTAACATGTATTTTGAAGTAGAGGCAAAATAAACCCTTGAGATCGCACTCACCCTGAAAAACTCCCCGAGTGTCGAGTTATAAGGCTTACATGGCTTACCCTTGATGTACTTCTGTTGCTAAATTCAGCAAAACAGTTCATAGCTGCTTCTGTCCAGAAGATGGGAATGACACATACCAGGTCTTTGGTAAACCAAAATCTCAAAACCTCGAGCATACGCCCTAAAGGGTCATCCGACTGCCCGATACTGTTTGTGTCCTGTGAGAAAACAAGCCTCGTAGATGGTCGGACCAATATGCTGACCTTGCAAAAGCCTCCGGTCTGTCTAAGTAATTCCAGTATTCTGATCGTTCGGTAGAAGTCAACAAAGTGCTCGGCCGTTTGAAATGAACAGTTAGCCGTGTGGCTAGACCAACCACTTACCCAAATTGGGCGTTGGCTCCAGAAGATGTGCAGGCAGGGAGAAGCGGACAGAGGCAATGTCAGCCACTCCGACGAACCTAGATGGCGAGCCCGCATTTTGTCAGAATGATCGGCTTCAAAAGCGAAGGTGGCCTTGGTAGTAGGCTATGAGGCTCGAAAAAGAGCGCATACTTTCTGAGGATAGACAAGAATGTCTTCAACTTGGATGAATCATCCGGCGTTTTTTCAGATGTAGAGGCTGTGGCGGACATGTTGAAGCTGAGCCGCCGCGCTGAGCCGCGAGATACGAGTTGATATGAGAGAGGTGATACTCTATGCGTACTTATTGGCGATGGTAAGATGGATAAGGAAGACTATAAGTGTACTGTATACAAAAAGTGAGAAAAAGACATGCAGGCTGGTTTGTCTTTTGTCGACTTACTCGCGCAAGGGTGCTTCGGCCGAAAGGTCTCGAGAAAGGTTGGGAGAAAGAAAGAACTGAGCGGAGCCAGGGGGCAAGAGCTGCTTTTTAGGGACCAGCCAGGAGTACACAAGAGTCGATGCAAGCAAAGACAACAACAACCCCTTTGTACGGGGTTTCTCAGGACAATCACCGACGGCGGGCGCGCACTGGGCTCCAGGCGGTGACGTTCTTATAACTAGTAAGGCGGGGGGGCAACCTCCGGCGGTCAGTCGGTACGTCACTGGGAACCTTTTATTCTTATATAATCAAACAGAAAACTAACTACTAGTAGTTATGGCAGGAGGCAGAGGCAAGACGAAAAGATCGTTGCTCTATCTACGAAGCACGTACAATACAAGTTCAAATGACCGACTTAAACCAGTTTCGAGATCAAGATCACAACAACTTCTCGATGACTTGCTTGCGGGCTAGCAGTCGGAGCCATTTGCGAATGGCAGGGCTGTAGTCAAACCGCCGACCTTCCGCGTACTCATTATCAGCCTGCTGTGACTGTTGCTCTTCCCGAATGGACGCCTGTAGACTGCGCTGGCTATCCGCCAGTTCGTGCCAGAGGTTTTTCAGCTTCTCCACCCCACAATTTTGATACTCCTGTTCTTGAAGAGTCGGAATGAAAGCCCGATCTATCATATCCCTGGAGAGTGTGTAGGACTTATCGGGTCCTAGAAGGGTATTCTTAAGAGTGATTGCGTGAAAGGGTAGTTGGCCAGCCTTGGACGTTAGACACTGGTTGACCATCTCAAGAGATTTCACATTCATCGCCAACCTGTTAATTAGACCAGGGAGCGGATCTTGAGCAAGGCTCAACATTGAAAACTCAATTTGGTCTTCTTCGTATTCTTTCATCCTCGTGAAAATATCGGGCTTAGCTTGAGCCAGCCAATCGTCACTGGATTGGCAGGAGCCTATATTGTAAGTTATAAGAAGGAACTGCTGTGGATTTCGTTGCGCCGTACCGAGAACTTGAGGCTGACGTTCCAACCCGTCAAATTTCCAAACTTTGCCTAAAGCAGCAACATAGGCAATGAAATGGAAAGCCGTGTCCAAGTCTTCTTGCTCATGTCTGGTGCGAGATCGCCGGAATGCTGTCTCGGCCTTGAGCTGGTGATCAGCTTTGAGTAAATCCATTCGCCTGGTCCCATAATGGGGATTAAGTTAGACCGATCGTTGACGAAGATAGCGGGCTATATAGGACAACAATTTGGTTACCTCGCAAATGAGTTGTGTATCCTCTTGATAAATTCATGGTTATTTACTGCATCACCTCGGAGCGCTGGCGTAAAAGGCATAGTGAATTCTTTGAAGTGTTGCAAATTTTCCCCAAGGTCAATCTCTTCAATATTATTAACAATGTTCAGAAGAGCCACAGTAGCACAGGCATTGCTCGCCGTCTATGCAGGATGATTAGCCATAAGGATCAAGGTGAAACAGTGAGCCAGACCTGATTTGCGAACCACAGCCCTTCTGGACAGCTTGCTTCCTGTTTATTGGGGTCATCCTCCCGCCAGCGAGACAAGAATATCAGCCCGTAGATCGGCTTGCTATCAAACTCGTTAGCCATGTGTAGAACTGGTAGAGGGTCAAAGTGCCAAACCCTCACTTCAGTATCGCCATCATATCCTCATCCAAGGATACGACTTCCTGGACTTTGACCCCCTTTACGCCAAATTCCCGGAGCATGACATTGAAGAGTGCCTAGAAAGGTGATTCAGCATAGGCCCCTAAAGGTTGTTTTACAGGACGTACGGGTTCAGACTCCAGCTCGCAAAATCCATTCCAATGAATCGCCTCATCCAGGGCCATAGAAACGAGATGTTTGAACCTGGTAGCACAGCTGGAGGATAAGCTCTTGCTATGGATCCTATACTATTCTGCCAAGTAAACAATGAATGATTGTGCAGGAAATACCCAAAACTATGCCACTAGTCTTGGATTCAAACAGTGGTCTAAGTGAGACGATCGTAGCTCTGATCAGTGAGATCATCGTACTGATTGATGACCTTCTGCCGGCCTCCATTCCGTGCTTAAGCAGTGGCACTCTGTAATTACGGTATCAATACAGTAGCGTCACCAGCATAGAAGCAAGTTACGTACTGTCAGTTGATTTGCTGCTGACCGCCGGCCCGTTATTGCTACAACAGTGCAAAAAGCATCCCTATCAACTCAAGCTCATCGCTCTCTCCCTCTCTCACGCGTCCCACTCACTATCTTGCATCGCAACTCAAACCCTTTGGCGGTCACTAGGTACTCTCACTGCCAATCTGAGGTGTACATCCTATGAGGTGGGGTAAGAGTCGTTAGTTTTGTGTTATCAAACAAACTGTTGCCTTTACCTATTCCTATTTCTAAGTTCTACCTCACTTTTCTGCCATAAATCGCTGTTCAAAGCGGGCGCAGTCTTCACAGGACGAGGCATCTCCCACGCACTATATATGTCTGTTTTCAAACGCCAGTCGTGAATTCTGCCTTGACACAAAGCTAATACTTAGATCATTAGGGTGCAGCTTGTCCCGTCGCATATCGCATAATTGCAGCATGCCATGAACGGCACTCCCCGGCTTCGGTCTGCTTTTCCGCAGACACCACAAACCGCTCCGAGATTTAGAGACCACAGTGCGCGAACCCCGACTAGGCCTCAATTGCACAATGCGGCAGTCCAGAAACTCCCCGCAAAGGTCCTCACGGGCTCTTCGGATGCGAAATCGCCTCTCATACCAGCGGGTGTCATCGACGCGCCCTCGCAGCGACTTTATGTCGCGGCTTTCTACCTGGCATTGAATACGTGGCGGGTGTACGATTCTTGGAGTGCATCTGACGATCTAGATTCAACCTGGCTTTTCCTGAAATGGGCAGCCGTTGATGGAGTCTTCCTCTTCGGCCTGCAAGCGCTGCGGATTCCCTGGTTGGAATGGGCCTTTCCTACAACACTAGCAATCTTCTTGATTCACGTCGCCGGAAACATATTCCTAATGTTTCAGATACCTGTATGCTCTGGCTTTAAACACCACGCACAGAAAATAAGGCCCCACTGACGCTTTCATAGATTCCTGTGGGTGCTTGGATTGCGGGAGCAATCAAACTAGCTTATGATAGGGAACTGTCCATATCTGAGCGGAGTGTGAAACCAGGGGACATAATTCACAATGCATCGCTTATCCTGGGCAAGCAGATTGTCCATATCTTACCAGAAGGGTGGGCTCTTGAACCTTTGATCACATTGAGATGTACTAACCGCATGATGATAGCTCGGCTATTTTGAACCCTGATCATATACCGCTCTGTATTGGTACATCCAGAACTGCTGTTGATTTACCTATACGTGTGAATCAGACAGATCCTATTTTGATAGAGTTGTTGCGGCTGGATTATGACAGTGGCGAAAATGAAACCATTTCAATTCCAGCAAAACAGCTGAAAAATATGAAGCGTCAAGCAGACAGGTCTCTCCCAAAAACACGATCCAGCCTCCATCGTGATCTCATTTTTCCTGTCAAGCGACCCGGAATATATCGTCTGCAAAGAGTAGTGGACGAGTCAAATCTTGACGTTCATATGAGATCCTCTGACGCTCTCGTTGCCGCGTGCCCTCGAGCAACGATCAAGGATTCCCCTACTCACAAATGTAGGGGTGAGCTCTCGAACCTAGTCTTGGTGGTTGAGGGCACTCCTCCTTTGAAAATCAAATACAGCAGACAGGTCAACAATCTCGATCGAGGCTTCTCTTTCCACAATATCCAACCCGATCAATTACGCTCGCCATTGTTAGGCCAACAAACAAGCGGTACTCTCTTCAATGCGAAAGAATCAGATGTGACCTGGGCTCGGAGCCAAAGCATTGAAGTCCCTTTGAACGAGTCTCTTAACGTTGGCGGGGAATGGATTTACACAATTGAGGAAGTCCACGACGGCTCAGGGAACATTGCGAATTACTCAATACTATTGGACGTTGAAAGGCTATCTACAAAATCTTCATCGCAATGGCATGAGTTCTCCGTTCACGAAAGACCTCGACTTTCCTTGTCTGGCTGCAACGATCAAAGTTTCCTGGAAGTGGCACAAGGCGCAAGCGTGGACCTACCTCTGAATTACCATCAGTCGGGACAAGGCTACGGGAATGATGGACCGTTCTCTCTGGTCTATACGTTCAATGGTGAGGCTCAGCCGGGTCATGCAGATCTGCCAAGCAAAATACGCCAGGCATCACTGAGTAATCTTGATCAGAAGCCCCAGATCAAGGATCCAGGCTGGTACAGGTTGAATTCTCTTTCCAGTCAATACTGCTCTGGAGAAGTGCTAGAGCCTTCGTCTTGTTACTTAAGAAATCCACCGGAACCCGACATGACTGTCAAGTATGAAAGAATTTTCGACAAATGTGCAAATAATCCCGTTGGTCTACTCGTGGACCTAGATCTAACCGGGTCTCCACCCTTCCGGCTTCGATATGTCATTGAGCATGCAAAAGGTGTCGAAACCCGAGCCCAATCAATCGATGGCCTTCGTGCTCAGCTTGACTTCACGCCACCAGAAGCCGGGTTGTATCGCTATCGCTTTCTAGACATTGCAGACACTGTCTATGGTCCCCAGTCCCTCCAAGACAAGGTGCCCGTCCTCGAGCAAGATGTGAAGCCACCCGCCTCTGCACACTTCTTGGGACCCAAAGTTGTACGCAAAGCCTGTTTTGGAGAACCGGTGTCCGTGGATGTCGCTTTCTTAGGCGAGGCCCCCTGGACAATGCAGTATGAAGTGGTTCATAATGGCAAAAAGACGAAATACACCTTGGATTCTGACAGCGAAATATCCACTATTGTGACCGAACGGCTCGTTAGTGGTGGTGAGTACCTGGTCCTTCTCACAAGCGTCAAAGATCGCTCGAATTGCAAGCGAGCCCTCAAGGATAGCATCAGAATAGATGCACGCTCAAAACCGCCCCATGTGGCGTTTGGCGAAATAGAAAGGAGCAGACGATATTCGGCCTTGCAGGACTCGAACGTTGATCTTCCGATCAGGCTAAGCGGAGAGCGACCCTGGAACGTGAAGTACAAGAATGTGAACGCCAGCTCTGCCGTGTACGAGAAGACATTCTGGCACGAGAATAGCTTCTTGAACGTGGCACAGGACGGACAGTACGAACTTGTTGGTGTGGCCGACAGTTCGTGTCCTGGCTTTGTCGACCAGGAAGGCAGCGTGTTCGAGGTTTCTTGGATTCCTCGCCCGCGAATCACAACCGTGGATGGCTCGCCTGTTGGATCCGACGGTCGTATCATGAAACGTGATGTTTGCCAGGGAGACGATGACAGCCTCGAAGTTCGGCTTTCTGGGAATGCCCCATATAGTATCCAATACGAGCAACAACGAAAGCCGTTACGCGGTTCATCTTCTGTTCGAGTGCAAAGTTTACGAACCGCCCTTAACGCTGCCTCTCTGGAAATGGATACATCTGAAGCCGGCCTGTACACGTACAAGTTCACAGAGGTCGGCGACAACCTCTACGATCAGGATCCCGGAGTCAAACCAGTGGTCGTGACTCAGAAAGTGAACCCTCTCCCTTCCGCACGATTTGATTCACCAGGCCGTATTTATGGATTTTGCAAGGAAGATGTCAGCGGCGAAGAATTGATTCCCATCACTCTTGAGGGTGTTACACCTTTCTCCCTTGAGATTTCTATCAAGCATCACTCAAAGGCGAAACCAGAAGTTGTAACGATTTCAAATATCAATGCCAATCGACACCATCTCCCTTTGCCACGACGTCATCTCGATCTCGGCCAACATGTTGTCAGTATTCGCAAAGTGACTGATGCACGTGGTTGCCAGCAAACCACTGAGTACGATTCCTCTTCGGTTAGAGTCGCAGTATCGGACGTGCCTACAATAATTCCACTTGAGTCAAAATCAGATTACTGCGTGGGCGAACGACTCTCCTTCTCGCTATCCGGTCATGCTCCATTTGACGTGTTTTACACATTCGACGGAGCTTCCAGGAAGGCCACTTCCAAAACCACCACTTTTCGTCGTATCGCAGAGAAACCTGGCGTTTTCAGTATAACAGCCGTCAGCGATGGTGCCAGCGGGAGATGCAAAGCCCACAAAAGTATCACCAAAACCATTCACGAGATGCCAAGTGTCAGGATCAGCAAAGGACAAGTGTCTGTCGTGGATATACACGAAGGAGGAGAAGCTGAACTTCAGTTCGAGTTCTGGGGCACACCGCCGTTTGAATTCACGTAAGTCGTCACCTACAGATTTACATGCACTTAACTAACCTCCATCTAGATATGTGCGAAGCTCAAACGCTCGGAAGGGAAAGAAATCTGAAATACTTGATGTCAAACATGATGTCTCTCACGAGCATACGAAAACAATCAAAACTTCGGACGAAGGCACTTATGAAGTGGTGGCAATCAAAGACAAGTATTGTTCTTTTTCTTCCCACATACCGGCCGGAAAGACTGAAAGAGTGATGGCTTGAGCCTGAGTGGATGAACGGAGTGATATACAATGTCATGGAAACCAGGATTATACACGAGTCTTTCTTTTCGGATCCACTGCTGGCCTGATTTTGACTTTGTGAGGTCTACTGTATTTGTAAATAATCTTTGTACATGATCACGAAATGTGATTATACCAGATCCTCGTCAATACCATGAAGTTCAATGCTGTCGATCATGACTTTACTCAACCTCGAAATTTCGTTCAAGATAGCCGGACGATTAATTATCACTTCGTCGCTCTCTTTTGGATCTCTCAGGCCTGAGGGAGAAGTAGAGTACGCCATTTTCAACGTCCAGCCTTTAGGCTGGAGAATTTGAGGATTCCAGAGCCCTGCAACAAGTCCCGGATTTTCATCGCTGTGGAAAAAGAGGATATTTGGACTGTAACACGCCTGCAGATCCTGAATGAAGGACTGGACAACAGTATGTCCAGTGGCCTGAAGCTTCTCCCGTCTATCAGCAATTTTGAATGTGGTTGATGATGTGGAGACATCATGCAGCAGCTTTGAACGAAGCCTGATGATGAAGTCGTAAGGTGCTAAGGATGTGCGGAAAAGTTCTGTCACATCACAATCACACCCATTCTCTCGAACCAATGTCATGGCAGCCTTGGCTAAGGTGCACATGCGGGCCGCCACAACCTTAGAGGGCTTTTCATACTGAGTCCAGGTCACACCATCAGGGTCTATATCAGAAGCCACAAAGAGGGTAACCGTGCTCATTGCCGGGTCAATTTGTCGCCATGCTGTAAAGCGAGTCTGTAAGCCTTCCACGGTGCTCTTGTCTAGACCTCCGAAGTCGACGACTAAAGCCTCCTGCTGCCAATCCCAACGTGCGAGAAGCTGGAGAGTCCTTAAAAATCCAGTCATGATACTCGACGGAGTATCCCATGGATATGGCAGCGTGAAGACTCGAACAACCAGCAATTCCACGGTCTCTTCTCGAATTTGCTCCGTAAGCAGATGACAGCTGAACCAATACTTCACAAGGCGAATCGTTGGCGAAAGAAGTGGGAATCGGGTGCATAAGGTACGAATTGCCTGTGTGAGCCGAGGGGTTTGAACAAACAGTCGTTTGTATTCAGATAGAGCGTAAGCGAGCTCTTGCTTCATCGGCAGAGGGACCCCTTTGTCCTTCATGTGGCGCGCCAAGAGCATTTGCTCTCTGTCGTGATGAATCCTAAGGCGAAAGAGGACGTTGGAAGAATGCGTGATGTCGAGGAACGCACGATTGAGGATCTTGCTCGACACATTCTCCAGCCCTACTTTGCATGCGGATGCGGCTCCAGATGACTGCAACGAATCACCTATTTTCACGAGGAAAGCTATTTTGGTCATTTGAATGGCCACAAGATCATCCGGCCAGCGAGCCGAGGATTCGAATTGTAGAACAATGTCCACGGGACCACAAAGCACGTCATGTTCACATTGCAGACGAAGAGCAGCATAGCGCAAAAGCGGGCTGGCTGGTGCTAGGTGCCTAACTGTTAGAGGCACTTCATCCATCTCCTGAACAGACCGTTGCAGAGAATTGAACGCATCATGAATCGTTTGGAAATGGGGGCTGGAGTATAAGATAATGCCATCCCCGTTGTTGCAAAGTGTTCGGTCAAATTCATCACCAACAAACTTGATTCCGGAATCGGGGTAGCCAAAATGACGCTTCAAGATATACGTCGATATCTGATATATGATAGAGGGCGCGGTCGCAAGATCTGACCAGACCAAGCTCTCCCTGATACTGCCATCTTTGAATCTCCTTAGCTCAGCCTTCTCTCCCCAAAAAGATCGAAACGATGCGGCTTCTTCTTTCTGTTCAGCGGCCGGGCCATGATCCACAACACGTGTAGCATTCTCTGCATCAAGCATCAACCCCACAAGTAGGCTTTGATGCCCCGTTCTCCGATTGGGCTTCGTGTCAACCTGCCAAGGCTCTGGGGCACAACCACGCAGATGAACGAGCCCGGCTCTGTCCCCCAGCGCCCTGACTAATACTTCATAGATCTTGTTTTCTTTCTTTAGATCTTGAAGACTGTTCCCACTTGCTGGGGCTGGAAGTTCAATGAGTCGATCAAATCTCAACGTTGGTTCGTTGGCCTTGAGGATGAATACTTTTTCGAAATTGTCATCGCGGGACTCGTTTAGCATTTTCACTGTGACGTCTGCTTCTCGGCGAAGGAGGGCATAGGACCAGGGGGTCATCTTATAAAGAATATTCAATCCTCGCTTGCCATCGTACAGAACAGGAGATTCGCCAGGGAATGACAAGTCCGTTGCAAACATTGCTAATGGACTTGTTAGGTCCCTTCCGGCAAGGAACTGCAGTGTCGCCTTGAATAGCTGATAGCTGCTGTAAGATTTCAAGAGGACAGGCTTGCCATTAGGGCCTCCACCCTCGAGCAGTAATGACATCAGAGCTGTCCACTCAAAGCCACCGAGCCCACCCGATTGATATGACGATCCAAATCCGCGCTGTCGAAGCCAGGTCCGGCCCAGAATACATGCATCTTTGAAGGATTCGCATTTGCGAATGCTGGAGTAAAGATATTTGTGATAGAGTGCTACCGCGGCCTCCGATCGAAGCGAAGCATTGTAGACCGGAGTAGCGCCTTCGGATGTGGGAGTATCTGCTGCGCCTTGACGTATATTATTCCTTGAGGGCAGAGTGCGTGACACTGGGAATAAAGAATCCTCAATGGCTGTAATGACACGAATTCGTAGTTTGGTTGACAGGTGTCCAGGTTTGGTCGAAGCGGTCGGCTCAAGAACGATGACAGGCCGAAGACTGTCGCCATCCTGAAGTGCGAACTTGACGTTCAAATCGAGATCAGCTGCCTTGATGCCAGCGGCAATAGTGGCAATATAGTATGCGCGTTTATGGAAGTATCGGTAATTGACATAGTCCTTCTCCTGGAAGATAGAGCTGGGCATGGTCACCGCCAAGTCTACCATTAATGGATCGGTGCTCTTAGCCCCTGTTTGAAGCGATAGACTGCCTACCACATTGACATTGATTGGTTTGACATATGTGAAAGAATACTTCACATCCCTGCCGGGCCGGGGTTCAGGAAAGGGCACCGTGATTCCATGTGCGCTACGCAGCTCTTTCTCTGCTTCCCATGCCGATTGAGATGGTCGCTCTGGGATATGTTCAATGATACTCTTCAATTGATGAAGTGTCTCTTGAAGCCTCGCGACTTGTCTATCATAATTCGGCCGCAGCCCAGTCAATAGCTCGTCCATCTGTAACTTGAAGAAGCTGGACTTATAGACGCCGCTTGCGAGCGCAAATTCAGCCGTGACATCGTGAGTCCCCTGTCTGTTTCTGCTTGTAGTAGGTTGTTCAGTGTTCCGAGTAGCCTTCGCGGAACTTTTTCCATGCGGTGATTGGGGAGACGAGGACAATGTAGGAGCATCAACGTTTTCTGGGAATGGGGCACTTGGCGAAGCAGTGTGAGTGGAAGGGCTCAACCGCCTTCTTTTGACTGAATGGGACGACATCTCGAACCGCACACCAGCCGCAGAAATCTGGTAGATATTTTTCGCGTGGGTGAAAGAAATGATATTGCTTGAAGAACGAGAATCCTTGGACAAAGCTGCAGATCCGACTAGATCAGTCTTGTATGTACCATGCTGGTCTCAATGTTGATCGGTACGGCTCATTTTTTTTTCGTTCTTGTCGGGAGGGAGACCTTTAAAACAGGCAAAAAAAAAAGGATTTAGTCTGGTCAGCGGTGAGTCTGGCACCGACTCCCAATAGTACCAGGCTACCCGTTACTGTAGCACGGTAGCACCTAATACTCTTTCTAGCGTACCACGCTCTACCTTACCGCCTGCCGGATATGAGCCTCCGTCGCTCTGTAGTGAGTACCTATTGTTAGGTAAGTTGATTAGTTAGCTAACTAGTTAGTCAATTAGTTAGTTATTGTAGTTATAAAGCAGCCGGCTGACTGCCAGCCAAATCATGGCCACTGTCATCACATCACCGGGCTCTTAGACTCTAGAGACTCTATTGCAGAAGCCATCGAACAGTCCGGTCTGTTTTATATGTACGTACGTAACGTAGACCTAGTCAGTACTTTTCTACCTAGTACTGTACAGTACATGGAAAAGTACAGAATGATCATTGATACCTAAGGTATACTTATCTAGTTAGCGAGGGAGTGACTCGTGCCGTGAGCTCCGTTCGCTCCAAACTAATTGGTCAACCACTCCCAGCACAACGCCGAAATCGCTGGCTGCCACCGCGGCAATGGATGGATCCATGATGACTCCCTCCATTTCCTAGTCCAATTCTCTAAGAATTCTTTCCCTACTCATCACTCCATCTGCGTCAAGTGTTGTTCGTTCCCGCTTTTTCCACCCAAATCATACATACTCACTCGACTAGTCGGTTTCTAGCTCTACAAAAATTTGGTCGCTCTACCACAATGCTTCAGATCATTGGAGGCCCGGTTCCTCCCAATACTGACCATGTAGGTTCAGGCCCCGCGTACCCCGCCTAGTCATCTTGTGGGAGCTTGTCTCCCTCACCAGTCTCCTTACTTTCCAAATGTCCCCTATATGAGTTTAATGCACAGTCACTGTCAGCCAAGAACAGCCACTCACCGTTGATTAGGCAGTCAGCGTGTCACTTCCCACTTGGAAAGCAAATGTGGCTTATGAAGAGGGGGAGCCTTGGATAACAAACAGTATGCAATGCGGCTATCCACGATTTTTTATACATCCAATCATTCAGGAGCTTGCGGTGGAGATAGTACAACGCTTTGGTACGCCAGATTCGGAGACTGCCATATTGTTCCCATCCATTGCCACCGCCGAAATGTGCCATTCCTTCATGAAGTCGAGGATATCAACGGAACACCACGACAAGATCCGGATCACGAGTTTCAGTCCCTCTCACCAAACAGATGCTGGCTTTCCCACCACAACATTGCTATTATCAGCTGTGATATATCCGAAAGAGTTTGCTTCCATTGCCAAGCAGGTGTGGCAACACACTGGGAATGGCATATCGAGTCGGCGGGGCGAGTTCTGCCTGGGTGCCCTAAGAAGTGGCTTTCTTGCTGAGAGAAAATCCCATGCGACAGATGCGGCGCCTCGGAGAATCTGTAAAGGCCCTCGGAGATACCAGGGGCGCGATTCGATCAGTGGAATAGGTCGACGCAATAGTACACAACATCATTGTAAGGACTTGTCATCCACAAGAGAAGCACAGGATGGCAAAGAATATGTACAATTCATTGAAGAACGATTTGGGCGCAACTTGAATATCTCGCTTGCTGATCAGGCACGGTTGGCTGTACGCCGGAGAATAGCAGGTGTTCTCACAGCTGACGTAGAGCTGAATGAAGCTCTCGAGGAGACGGCAGGAGAAGGTCGTGTGGCGGGGCTGACGGAGGCTGACGTCTTTCTACATCCAACGGGGATGAGCTCTATCTTTAACGCACATCAGATGTTACTGGCCAGCAGAGGACAACTGAAAAGCATATGCTTTGGGTTTCCTTACATCGACTCGTTGAAAATCCTTCAGAAATGGGGTCCCGGATGCTTGTTCTATGGCCAAGGTTCTGCAGAAGATCTCGATGATTTGGAATCACGTTTGCAGGCAGGCGAACGGTTCCTGGCTTTATTCACGGAATTTCCGGGCAATCCCTTGCTGAAATCTCCAGATCTGAGAAGAATTCGCCAACTCGCTGATAGGTATGATTTTGCGGTTGTGGTTGACGAGACTGTAGGGAACTTCCTGAACATCAATGTTCTCCCTTCTGCAGACATTGTGGTTAGCAGTTTGACCAAGATATTCAGTGGGGATAGCAATGTTATGGGAGGAAGTGCAGTGCTCAATCCACATGGGCATTATTACCATTCTTTGAGAGAGACTTACGCCCGTGAATATGAAGACAATGTCTGGGCTGAAGATGTCGTTTTCTTGGAGCGGAATAGCCGGGATTTCGCATCCCGAATCGAGAAGATTAATCGAACCACAGAAGTAGTTGCAGAACTGCTACTAAATTCTCCGCGAGGTAAGTCCAGATTCATTCTTGCCTCGTTGCCGTTGCGTCTCCGATCATCCCGGGTGACTTGGTCCGAATCTACAGCGCTTTGTTCTAATCCATCTTACAGTTAAGAATGTTTATTATCCGAAGTTCAACCCTTCTCAACCTCTTTATGAAGCATTCCGCACCCAGAATGGGGGATACGGTGGCCTCTTCTCTGTTACGTTCCATTCAACTGCGGAAGCAACTGCTTTCTTCGATCAACTTGAAGTACATAAGGGCCCAAGTCTCGGAACGAATTTTACATTGAGGTTGGTCGAAGCCCCTCATAAGAATCTAAGCAGCGTGCACACTAACTGTTAATCAAAGCTGTCCATATACATTGTTGGCCCACTACGGTGAACTAGAATGGGTATGTCAACCTGTGCAATTCGCTCGATGAGCGCGTCGTCTAGCTTGCCCTATGATTACTGATCTTTATCAGGCGAATTCCTTCGGTATCGAATTCGGTCTTGTCAGAATAAGTGTCGGCTTGGAAGAGGAGTCAGATCTATGTAATCGGATACAACAGGCTTTGAAAGCGGTATCTGATGTCATAGCATGATATTCTATGAACAGATTTGCGCCGTTCTGTTGCATTCAGCGCCGGGCATTCCAGTCTTGAAAGACGCTAGACAGTCTCACGCGGTACTTTTGCGATATGATAATAACTTTAGCCCCTGAGTATATAGAAGTGTTTTGTCAGAGTGATATCATAGATTGGCTCATGACAGTTCTTTCGTTTTTTCACATGAACATATTGCGCAAAATGCTAAATGATGGAACACAAATCTGGTATGCTGATAATGTGTGGAGTGCCATACCTTGTAACTATCAGCCCCGTAATTACCAATACACACACAAATATTTGCAGTCCTGTGATTCCCCTGATATCTTGAAGACCAATTGAACAGCCCGAAGACAATCTCTCTCCTACAAGCAGTGAAGGGCCCACCGTAGCTAGATCCAGACTTAAACATGTTGTATGTATATTATGTGACAGATTGGCTTGATCGTCGACCCACCTGTGTGCTTCTGTATCTTTCAGCGAAACCAAGTTACGCAGCAGTACTGGACTGTAATCCTGAGGTTATGCACTGCATGCTCTATGTATGTATTATTATTAAGCTCATCACGGGACTTGCGGTTCAGAAAAGCTCAACCTTTCAGTTTCGTAAGTAAACTTATTGCTGCGGCTTGAGGACCTAAGTTTGCTCCATTACCCCCTGATCATGGTCTAGCTGAACCGCGAAGTGTATGTATCATGCAGTCATACTCTTGGTCTTCTTTAATTGAAGTCAAATTACACAAGAACGCGTGTTAACACTACCTTTCGCCATAGGTTTATTATCAAGCGATCATTCCCTCGCTCCTCACCCCATTGAAAATTTATTGTATCTTGTCAGCCTCACCAAGCGCGACACGGAAACCCAGGCCAACAATGGCTAGCACTCTTGCCACGGCAAAGAGGCCGTTACTCTCTCTGCCGTTTCTTTCACCCTCGTCATGCGAACTCATGCCTCTTACGTCTCGACGGAGCCAGTCCTCTTATAGACGTACAAAGCAACGTTTACGTGTGAAGCCTGATGCCTCCTTTGGACCTTCTATGACCCAAGTTCAAGGAGACCACATTGTCTATAACCCTCCTTCGAGCGCTCCATCAGTGTATCACACGCCAGCGAAGTTTCTTCCGAACGATGACATTCGGAGATCTCTGCGCACCGATGCTTCGGTCACCCACCGGAATTCCACCGATATTACTTCTCCAAACGAAACGCCTGGTTTAAAGAGATATCACCTGAACCCATCCGATGTACTAGAGATACGGAGACTTAGAACCAGTGACCCACTGACATGGAGTCGCTCCAAGTTGGCCAAGCGTTTTGATTGCTCACCACTCTTCATCTCGATGGTGTGCGGAGCTAGCCCAGAAAAGAAAGAAATGCAGAAGCAAGTTCTGGAGGCGGTGCAATCAAGATGGGGCACCAAGCGCCGGATGGCTAGAGAAGATCGGAAGTTGCGAAAGGAATCCTGGGGAAGGGACTGTTGATGACAATGCCCGAATTGGTTGCGCCAACATTCCTACAGTTTTTTCACATCCCAGGTCACCGAAACTCCGGTCGTTCTTTTCATCATGTCTGCTTCGAGTATGCGAAGTCTTTTGCCGCCCGTTCATTTATATCTGTCTTATTAGAAGCCCTTTATCCCTGTATAAATCTGTATTCTTTACCCCCGCCCCCAAATGAATCAATAATTATGGCGATAATAGTCGTAGCCGACTACCAAATGAATAACACCATGATCTTAAGGAGCTATTTTAGGGTCCTGTCGCTAGTTACGATTGCGCCTCGGGTCGTCGCTTATTCGCGGGAACTCCAGGCTCCTTCGCTGGTACGTACTTGTACTGTATGTCCATCAGGTGGTAATTGTTAATAATAATAATTCTGTCCTTCGTCCACGGCCCAAATGCCCCTCTTCATCCGTCGAATTGCAACGTCGCTTAGAGAGTACAGACCCTTTCTGTCATCTCCAATCCACAGCAAGGGACATTTGGCATCTCAAACTTTTTTTAAACCCAGAGTACGCCGTCTGTCATATCGTCAACCATATTACAAACATATCAGCGATTCAAAGATGGCACCGCAACTTGAGCCGTTTTTCAAACAGTGAGCCTATCTTCCAATTACCTCATCCTGCCCCTCCTTTGATGGTTCTCCCCTTTTGAAAGAATTTCACATTTGCTTCATCAGTCCTCGCTCCCCGCTACTAGTTTCATAAATACCTGGCTCTGACCGCATGCAAAATCACACATATATATATGTAGGGTCGACGACCTCTCCGGCTCTTTCATTGACAGTATGTTGGATGAGTTCTCGATCATCTTTAACTTATGATGTGTATTGACCTGATTGAAAGGGCTACGAAAGGCTGTTGCTATTCCTTCGATATCTGCGCAGGATGAGAACAGAAAAGATGTATTCAGGGTATACTTTTGCAAGCTCTTTATTAACTCACAACGAATCGCCGCTAATCCCCTCGTTTTGCACATCAGATGGCGCAGTTTCTTGCCTCCGAACTTGAAGCTCTGGGTGCCGAGGTAGAGCAACGACCTCTAGGCAAACAGCCCGGAAAGGAGCATCTTGACCTACCTCCTGTCGTAATTGCCCGGTATGGTAATGACAAGAACAAGCGGACCATTCTAGTTTATGGTCACTATGACGTGCAGCCCGCCTTGAAAGAAGATGGTTGGGCGACAGAACCCTTCGAATTGACTGTTGATGATCAGGGAAGGATGTTTGGACGTGGAAGCACTGACGACAAAGGTCCTGTCCTGGGCTGGCTGAACGTGATCGAAGCTCACAAGAAGGCGGGTGTGGACTTTCCCGTCAATCTCCTTTGCTGCTTCGAAGGCATGGAGGAATACGGCTCGGAAGGCTTGGAGGAGTTCATCCAAGCTGAAAGCAAGAAGTTTTTTAAAGATGCGGACGCCGTTTGCATCTCGGACAACTATTGGCTTGGTACCGAAAAGCCCTGTCTGACTTACGGTCTTCGCGGCTGTAACTATTACTCCGTCAGTGTCTCCGGCCCTGCCCAGGATTTGCACAGCGGGGTGTTTGGAGGTTCTGCCCATGAGCCGATGACTGACTTGGTTAATGTTCTCTCCAAACTTGTTGATCCTCAGGGAAATATCTTGATCCCTGGCATTATGGATCTCGTGGAGCCTTTGTCGGAAGATGAGAAATCCCTGTACCCCAATATTAGCTACACTATGGACAACCTTCATGAGTCTTTGGGCAGCGAGACGGGCATTCATTCTACCAAGGAAAGAACTCTCATGGCTCGATGGAGATATCCCTCTTTGTCTATCCATGGTATTGAGGGTGCTTATTCCGCTCCTGGAGCCAAGACCGTGATTCCAGCCAAGGTGATCGGCAAGTTCTCTATTAGAACAGTGCCAAATATGGAAAGCGAGGATGTGAACAAACTTGTGTTTGATCATATCAAGTCAGAATTTGCCAAGTTGAACAGCAAGAACAAGCTAGATGTTTGGCTCCAGCATGACGGAAAATGGTGGGTGGCCAGTCCGAAGCACTGGAACTTCACTGCTGCAAGCAAGGCTGTTAAACAGGTCTTTGGTGTTGAGCCCGACATGACTCGTGAAGGCGGCAGGTATGGAGAAATCTTGTATTAAGCTGCTTATTGTTCTCTAGAGGCTAACCAGTCGGTAGTATCCCCGTTACTTTGAACTTCGAGCAAGCCACTGGAAAGAATGTGTTGCTTCTGCCAATGGGCAGCTCCACTGATGCTGCTCATTCTGTGAATGAGAAGCTTGACAAACGGAACTACATTGAAGGAACCAAGTTACTAGGGGCTTATCTGCACTACGTTGCGGAGGAACCCATGAACCATTAGAGGCTTGCGCTACCTTATTATTGGCATCCTCAGTTTCAACGATAATCTGATTGCTTCGCTCTGGTGGAATTCTCGCATCACCCAACACAGGGGCAGGCATATGTTTCTCCTTTCATTTGTCCCCCTTTCCATAAAGAGAATGGCGCAGTACATACTGATTTAAGCTCTGATCCCTATCTAATCGTTCAACTCCCTCGCCATAATCCACCTAGCCATTGTCCACAAGTCATTCTAGCGTAAGCCTATGGTCAGCACATTTCCTTGGCTCAAATAAGCCCAATTGCCATGCTGAACAACCCAGGATCGAACGGAACGTTGTTGAACAGGCGGTACCTCCTTATGCGAGCGACACAGCTAATGAGCCAGCGGTATTATGAACATGATATGCGCGATATACCGTAGACAATTCTATAGCGCGCTACTGCGTTCTACCATTGGTTCTTGGAAGGAGAGTTACGTTGTATTTTTCCTAGTTGTGACTCGTGTAGTGCTTCGTTCCAATAATTAAATACCTAAAGAGTTGCCTAATGGGCTTAAGTGAACATTTACAAGGACCAAATTGGTAGTGGCTACCAATATCTCATGAATTTCGACGTCCTTCACAGTGGATCACGAATTGTGTGTGTGTTGCTGAAGGTATTTGCTTTCATCAAGCGAAGAAATTGGCGATGCATGATGCAAACATATGAAAGTCTACCTACCCTAACTGAACATTGAAAAACGCGCCACGCGACCACGCGCCTTATCTGCAGCCGATAAACCTCCGAACACGAAACAAAGGAAATGTGCTACTACCTCCACCTTTTGAAAGAAAAGGCAGCGGCGCTACTTTACGGCTTCTTTGTTACTCTTGAGTCGCTGCCACTCTCACCAAGTCTGGCTACTCTGCTTTATAACTTATCTCTCTACTCACTGCTGGTGTGATTGTCATACCAAGTTTTTCATGCTCAAGTCAATCCGCACTCGATGCCGGCAAGTAAACGCTCCCAGGCGTCCACTGCGGACTCGAATGAGGAAAGGGGGGTAACATCCTCTCCATCGGTATGTGAAATTGGGCATTCCCAGGCAATATACTGATTTGGTCAGCGAAAACGCTTTCGCGGAAACGACTCGTTCGGAACCGACGGAGTTACCGACGATGAGACTGAAGAGACAATGTCTCAATCTATCTCACAGGCACTTGACGATGACGAGGACGAACTTGAGCTGCGCGCGACACAAGTTATACAGGAGAAATATTCATTCGCTAGCGATGAACCGAACATGCCTGCTGAGCATGGGATTCTGGAGCGCGTTGAGTGCTATAATTTCATGTGCCACGATCATTTTTACATCGAACTCGGCCCCCTGATCAATTTTGTTGTTGGGAAGAACGGTTCAGGAAAGAGTGCAGTTCTCACCGCGATAACCCTCTGTTTAGGTGGTAAGGCTTCGGCCACCAACCGGGGGCAAAGTCTGAAAAGTTTTATCAAGGAAGGCAAGGAGTAGGTTTACCCAGCCGCTAATATGTATTGGATTCTAAGTTTCTCAGGAACGCGACCATCGTGGTGCGTATCAAAAACCAAGGTGATGGTGCTTACATGCCAGATGATTACGGTAAATCAATCATCATCGAGCGCTATTTCTCTAGGAATGGCACCAGTGGGTTCAAAATCAAGTCTGAAAGTGGCCGGATCATCTCTACCAAGAAGGCGGAGCTGGATTCCATTATCGACTATTTTACCCTGCAATTTGACAATCCAATGAATGTTCTTTCACAGGATATGGCTCGTCAATTTCTTAGTTCCTCTAGTCCTGGTGACAAATACAAATTCTTTGTGAAGGGAGTCCAACTGGAACAACTTGACCAAGACTACCGCCTGATCGAAGAATCTGGAGACCAAATCGAGGCAAAGCTAAAAAGCAGGGTGCAAGATATCACAATTTTGAAGAGTCGTCAGGACGCAGCCAAGCGGAAACTAGACATATCTGAACAACATGAGTCTCTACGCAATCGCATTCGAAGCATTCGAAACCAGATGGCCTGGGCTCAAGTAGAAGAACAAGAACGGGTAAGCACGCTCGGAATCTGAAGCGTATATGCTACATTATCTGAACAACGGCAGATTCAGGATTCGTTGAGAACGGAAATGGCCAGAGCAGACGAGGGTATAGCTGCTGCTGAAGCAGGTCTCGACAATTATGATCATCGCATACAGGAGACTGAGAGAGAAACCGAAGTTGCAACTGAATATGTTCGGCAGGCTACCTCCAAGCTCGAGAACTGTCAGAGAGATAAGGAGGAGATCAAGTCAAGAATGGATGGCCAATTGACTGAACGCCATGATTTACAGGCAGGCCAACGTCACACGCATCAATTCACGTCAGGGTCTCTAACACATGCGCACAGGCTGAACAACGCAAAATCAGAGAGTATCTAAAGGCTGCGGAGGCTAGAATAACTGAAACTCGGAAGAAGCTTGCAGATGAGCACCAGCGCTTAGCGGATATGAGTGGGCAAAATTTCACCAGAAAGCAAGAGGAACTTGAGCGAGCGAAAGCTGACGCAGATGATGCCCGTGCTCGATGTAAGGAACATGAAGCTGAGAGAAACCGCTTATATGAGAGAATAGGTGAGGCTGAAAAGGAGGTAAAACTCGCTGCTGCCCCTCTTAATAAAATCAGGACCGACATTGAGCAAGCACAATCGGTTTTACAAAACTTGAACAGAGAGGGCGGTGCGAGAAACTCTGGCTTCCACGAAAGAATGCCAGCTCTCACCAGAGCCATTCAACAAGAAGAATCTTTCAGCAGAAAGCCTGTGGGTCCGATTGGGCATTTCGTCAGCTTGATGAAGCCAGAATGGTCCTCTATCTTGGAGAATTCGTTCGGCACAACACTCAGCAGCTTCATTGTGACCACGAAAAGGGACATGAACATTTTGTCAGACATTATGCAGAGAACCAACTGGTGAGAGACCCCGAAATCCTCGCATGACTCCCATAATCCTAACAACAAAAGTGTGTGCCCGATATTCATAGGGAGCGACGGCCATATTGATACTTCAGAACACGAACCAGACTCCGCTTACGACACAGCCTTGCGGGTACTTCAGGTGAGAACATTCGCCAGGTAACCACTCTAAGTGAGGCAAGTGTTATAACGCTGACTTGTTAGATCGACAATGATCTGGTCCGCCGACAACTAATCATCAATCATGGGATTGAACAGATGCTACTGATAGAAAACCTGGAAGAGGCATCCTCTGTTCTTTTTGATGGGCAAAGACCTCAAAATGTGAAGAGATGTTATTGCATCGACCCCACCAACAGGCGACGAGGGTTTCATCTTTCTTACAGCCGTACTGGCGAGCCCAGCCAAACGCCAGTGCCAGCCTACAATGGGAGTCCCCGAATGAAATCCGACCTTGCCTCACAGATCAGGTACGCATAGCGCGGCTACTGATGGAGAACCAAGCACTGACCTTCAAACAGTATGCAGAAAGAGATACTTGCAGATTTAAGGAAAACCCTCAGTGATCAAGAGCAGTTACTTCGATCCGCTCGGTCTAATCTCGAAAGCTGTAAACAAGTGCGTGTGAGACATGACAGAAAAAGTAGCGAACTACGTGTCGCAGTACAGAGAGCGGAGGATCTTATTGAGGAACTCACCGAGGCAGTCGACAAAGAGGCTGTGGGAGACGGACACCTTGATGTGCTTCGAACTACCTTGGCAGAAGCTGAAGAAGAGAAACGCTTGAACGAAGGGTCCCTGAACGACGGCATTGAGGCAATGGACGCCATGATGAGAACACTCAAGGCGACTAAACAAGAACTTTCGGCCAAACTGAAAGAGGTTTCCGCTATGGATGAAGAGCTCAAGCTGGCTCAAAACGAAGCACAAATGACCATGGATAATCACCGAAGATCAATTCGCGAGAAGAACACGGCAATCGAACGTATCAATGATATCAAACAAGACAGAGCACAAATACATCAGAGACTGCAAGAGATCGCTGCACGCATTGTTGACTTCAGCGAGAAAGCCAGTTTAGTCTCACCGCGAGTTGCAATAGCTGAGGGTGAAACAGCTACCAGTCTGGACAAGAAGCTCGATAGGCTTCATACAGATCTTAAGCGCTATAATCAAGAGTACTTATACACGACCATGATCTCGATAAACAAGTTACTGACATAGCTCTAGGCTAGGAGCAAGTCGCGAGGAACTCGCAGCCCAGGCCTCGAAGGCTAAAGAGAACTATGAACGGGCTTTGAAACAAGTTGATGAATTCCAAACACTGGCTGAAGTACTATAAGCACGCCATCGTAACCAGAAGCCCTAGCTAACTGCATTTGCCCAGGTCCTAAAAACAACCCTCGATCATCGCAAGAAACGCTGGCGGATTTTCAGGTCGCATATATCCTCGCGCGCGAAGGCACAATTCACATATCTCTTGAGCGAGAGGAGCTTTCGAGGTCGACTGTTGACAGATCACGAGGGGAAGCTATTAGATCTACAAGTATGTGGTTCGAAGTCCTATCGTGGCTGATCTGCGCTGATAGTGCTCCCTAGGTTGAGCCTGACATTACGAAAGACAGTATAGGCCGTGGTGCAAAGACTCTTTCGGGTGGTGAGAAATCATTCTCCCAGGTATGCCTGCTTTTGGCACTGTGGGAGGCTATGGGGTCCCCAATCCGATGCTTGGACGAGTTGTACGTCTCTTGAAATCCAACCGTATGATCCGCTCCTGATAACCTGGGCCTTTTAGTGATGTGTACATGGATCATATCAATAGGAAAATGGCCATTGACATGCTAGTATGATAACCACCCAACTTCGGTGAATGCTTGCTAATTGTTGACATAGATGCTCGCGGCGAGGCGGTCAATTGGTCGGCAGTTCATACTGATAACGCCCGGATCCAGGGCCGAGATAAGCCTGGCGCCAGATGTTCGCGTGAAGGAGTAAGTCATTGGTTTTGCAAAAGTTGGTCGATAGTAGCAGCTAACTTCATCGATCTAGGTTGGCAGAACCCGAACGAGGTCAAACAAGGTTGGCTTTCTAGACGTACAAGGTAGCTTTTACAGTAAGATCTTATCCAACAGTGGTGACAGTCATTATCTCAGGAGATAATTTGCTACTACTCCCTTTTCCATGTACGCTCCTGTCACTCTAGTGGGTTCTCTCCGAGTGTAGGCACTTTGAGAGCAAATGTGGATGTAGTAGAAGCTCTTGCCATGGCGAATTTCAACTCTGTGGTTGGGTCATACCATTTCCGTGTCCGCCTTCCACCACATATGAAATGTGAAATGTGAAACGGTAGAGAGCTGAAGACGACTGAGTAGTGAACACCACAGATAGTCCATCCGCAGACGGTGAAGGTGGCGGCGAGAATCTGCTCAGCCATATTTATGTAAAGCAAATGCGTACCTACTGGTCATGTAATGGAGCCTGAAATCTGGAATATGGCTGCCCTTCCCATCAAGGTCACATCCACCCCTCAAATTCTCTCCGCATTCCTTCTAGGCGGTACAAGTCGTCAACTCAATATCTTACACCTGCTCAACTATAACCAATTGAAGCTCTTGGAGACACTTGCCAACCTTTTGATGCGTTATCAGTGGCGTGCTGAGGGCATTCATCTTGGTTGAACTGGAACTTACCTACTAGGTAGGTATCAGAGGTAAGTTACCGAATCGGGCTCTTGAGGCTCGGCCCGTTTTGGGACTACGCCCAAATCGGCCCACAAGCACTTCGTCCACGGTCTCCAAGCCCTCCGAACAATTCAACTGCCAACAGACATACCTGATCTGAATTATCACCTTACTCATTCTACTTTTCTACAGCGAACCATCTGACCCGCCTTTCTGAATCTCTGTCGGAAGTCATCACTTTATCGAGCTCATCACACTTCGATCCATCGCAACAGAAAATATCATTTGCGAGTAGTGGCTGTGTCATATCCTTCCTTTCATCACCACGCCCATCAAAACACAGTCTCCCTGGCTTAAAGCGATACAACGACATAGCTTATCATTGTCATCAGCAGAAGCCTCTTTGTCTTACATCAGTCCTCGAAAGTTGAATCGTTTACACGAAAGCTTCCTACCCAATCACCGGCATCCGGCAGTATTGGGCCACCTGTGTACCAAGAAAGAAGCAAGACATTATCACTCCCGAGTCATAATTATCCTTGAATAACTGATCAACATGACCGACGCGCTAGCCTCACAAATGAAAAGTACAACACTAGGGTATGTCGGTCGCTTCTCCAAGAAACGGATTCGAGTTGACCATATTCTCAAACCCTACCAGTGATGCGAACTCAGATGCGAAGTGGAAGGAACAATTAAATGTTCCTGCTAAGGATGCAAGACCACAAACTGAGGTTTGTCTCTCAAGGATCAGCTCTGGTCCGTCGTCATCTGACATGCGTCCAGGATGTGACTGCTACCAAAGGCTTAGAGTTCGAAGATTTTTACATCAAACGTGAACTTATGATGGGCATCTTCGAAGCTGGTTTTGAGAAACCGTCTCCCATTCAAGAAGAAACGATACCTGTCGCCCTCACCGGTCGAGACATCTTAGCGCGGGCCAAAAATGGCACGGGCAAAACAGCTGCTTTTGTCATACCAACCCTAGAACGCATCAATCCCAAAAGCACGAAAACCCAGGCTCTTATTCTGGTTCCTACAAGAGAATTGGCACTTCAGACTTCCCACGTCTGTAAGACTCTGGGGAAACATCTTGGCATCAACGTTATGGTCACTACAGGCGGGACAGGGTTGATGGATGACATCATCAGACTAAACGACGCTGTCCATATTCTCGTCGGAACGCCTGGAAGAGTGTTGGACTTAGCGAGCAAAGGCGTTGCTGACCTCTCTGAATGTCCGACATTTGTAATGGACGAGGCTGACAAATTGCTGTCTCCTGAATTCACTCCGGTCATTGAACAGCTGTTGTCCTTCCACCCAAAGGATCGTCAAGTGATGCTCTTCAGTGCCACATTTCCACTGATTGTAAAGTCTTTCAAGGTATGCACATTATGTCTTACCTTCATTCCAGGGGATACGGCTGACTTATCTTCAGGACAAACACATGCGCAATCCTTATGAGATTAATCTCATGGACGAGCTTACCCTACGAGGAATCACACAATACTATGCATTTGTAGAGGAGAAACAGAAAGTTCATTGTTTGAACACTCTGTTCTCAAAGTTACAGATCAACCAGTCAATTATCTTCTGCAATTCCACCAATCGCGTGGAATTGCTCGCAAAGAAGATCACCGAGTTGGGATACTCATGTTTCTATTCACACGCAAGGATGCTTCAACAACATCGAAACCGAGTATTCCATGACTTTCGCAACGGCGTCTGCCGCAATCTCGTCTGCTCTGATTTGTTGACTCGTGGGATTGATATCCAAGCCGTCAACGTTGTCATCAATTTTGATTTCCCCAAGAATGCTGAAACTTATCTTCATCGGATTGGCCGGTCAGGTCGCTTCGGACATCTTGGACTTGCTATCAATCTCATTAACTGGGATGATCGCTTCAACTTGTATAAAATTGAGCAGGAATTAGGAACGGAGATCCAACCTATCCCGCAAAACATTGACAAGAAACTTTACGTTTACGACTCCCCAGACACTATTCCGCGCCCTATCGCGAACCCGTCACAACCCCTGATTGCTGCCGCCGCAGCGAATGCTACCACCGCAGATCGTCGTCCTGTTCATCATGCGAACGGTGGGCATTATCAATTTCACCGTGGACGAGGTTCATACCGCGGGGGTCGGGGACAAGGCCAACGTCGCAGTATTCATAACGACGCAAAGCAGTTCAGCTCTTCTCAAGGCCAAACAAGCGGCAAACCTCATACTACGCCGGTGTCATAAACCACCCGCTACCGGTGCAACGAGCGCTTCGTCGGCCTTTCTCCTTCACGTCTAAACTCCATTGCTTTTTTGCTGTTCTTCTGTCATGTCCTTTCTCTTCATATCTTCGCTCATTATTGGTTGTTGTTCGTTTATTTTACGATGGTTATTGGTAACCTTGACTCACAGATTCATTTCTGGGCGCCTTCTGGTGTCCGGTTATTCTTTGAACTTTGTGTTTTACATGATTGGTCTTTGCAACTCGATTTCGAATATGCAGGACATTTATGTTTGTATCATACTTATTTTGCCTGTCTTCTCTAGTGTGTATTCGTTTCCACTTACTACATGTCCCTTATTTGCCCCTTGATTGAATGGGTCAGATCCATCCTATGGCTCTTTCTACTTGTACATATGTCCCCCCGGGATTGCATTGGAGGTCTACTGAGATTATTACGGCGTTCGGTGGGCATGTTGCGAGGGTATCATGCTTCGGGCGTTGCTTGGAGGTGGGGTTGGGGTGTTCGGCTAACATACAGGTACTCGGCGGCTGGGTTTATACCAAGCTGCGACGAATTTCGCCATTACCACATTCTGAGCTCATGGTGAAATCTACCACACGCCACAACACCAGCCATCTTCCCTGGTGTCATAGCATGCATACGGCTATACCATCCTGCGTTTGCATCCCTGGCGCCAACGGCGAAAGCTTTTGCGGATCTTTGTGTGTTCTTATTTCCTAAGACTCGTTTTGGGTCTCTTTACCTGACAATAGTTTCGAGGCTGCCCTTATAGTCGGCCCGAACAAAGATGGATTTGTCGAGAAGAAAGTTGTGGTGAGAAGGGTACCGCGTGCATATCCTGAGAATAAAGCAAAAATTGAAGTTGAAAAAAAAAAAAAAGAAGAAAAGATGGAAAGAGAAAAAAAGAGAGAAAAGAAGGAACATAGCGCTAGGGGAAGAGAAGGGAAAGAGAGGCCCGGGTTACGGAGTTCAAGGTATGCGGAGAAGAGCAGTTGAGGGCTGACGGAGGAGGCGGGAGCGGAGGAATTCAGGCGCGGAGAGGACGGGGTGGGGGTGTTTAGCGATGTTCGCAAGGTGAGAAGAATTCAACGGAGCGGGAACGACGGAAACAGAAAAGATGAAAAAAGGCCTGGGGTACGCTAGATGCTATAGCTGGCCATTCGGATATGTGTAGCATCTAGTCAAATGTCAACTCGATCTCCTAGGCTTACCAAACATCGCAGACAGTAGGCCGGAAGCTCTGCACGGTTTGCTCTTGCGGAATCCCGTATTATTAGTACTACTGGGAAATTAAACTTATAGTTAACTGACTTGGCTAGGATCGAGCTCTGACTCAGGACTCAACAACGTACCACCTGGACTCCATAGGCTACTGGGCTTGTACCTAGTGAAATAGCTCCGTCAATGGCGACTGCTGAGAAAGATCACCGGCCGAAGGTTTGCTCAAGCTCAAGGGGCTTACTCATGAGAACACGATCCCTAACTATTATGAAGCCCAGTAGTTTGCGATCCATCATTGCGGGCTCTACCGCGGGTGCCGTCGAGATCGGTAACACCTCTCTACACTCATCTCATCTCCGTTTACACAATGCTAAATAGCATCAGCTATCACATATCCAGCAGAATGTATGCGTTACATCTAGTTTCTGATTCATCCATCTCAATGGCTAATCGGTTCTGTAGTCGCAAAGACCCGGACACAACTCAACCGCAGACTCCCCGACGCAAAGAAACTACCATGGCCGCCGTTCGGTTCACAATGGTATGCCGGGTGCACAACCCTCATCATCGGAAACTCTCTTAAAGCAGGAATTCGTGAGTAATCCTGTCTGTGAACTGAATTGTGGTCATCTTTTAAGACTGATGCGGCGTCTTTGTGAAAGGTTTCGTTGCCTTTGACTGGTTGAAATCACTTCTGCAGGATGAGAATGGCAAGATTTCGGGGCCCCGAACGGTCATTGCGGGTTTCGGGGCGGGATTTACTGAGTCTCTTTTGGCGGTCACACCATTCGAGAGTATCAAAACGCAATTGTTCGTTGAGCCCTGTTCTCCGGTTATCCCATTATCTTGAGCCACTACCGGTTGGTTAAATGCACAGAACTGATGCCCTGTGGCGTTGACAGAATCGACGATCGGAAGTCTCAAAAGCCCCGAATGCGAGGATTCTTGCATGGGAGCAAGATTATTTATCAAGAAAGAGGCGTTCGAGGATTTTTCCAAGGGTTTGTTCCGACAACTGCACGCCAGGCTGCCAATTCAGCGACACGCTTCTCAAGCTATACTATGTTGAAACAGATGGCCCAAGGCTGGGTTGCCCCTGGAGAGAAGCTAGGAACCGTGAGCACCTTTGCGATCGGTGGGATGGCCGGTCTCATCACGGTGTAAGCCTGCCGTGCCCCTCTTTAAATAAAGCCGGCCAGTGCTTTTGTCTAGGAGGGATACTAATACCTGCACCTTCAGTTACGTTACGCAACCTCTTGATACTGTCAAGACAAGGTCTGTATTCTATATTCAAGTCTGAGATATGCTGAGGGACCGCATACTAACACAAAAGTAGAATGCAATCCCTAGAAGCCAGTAAAAACTATAAGAACAGTTTTGTCTGCGCGGCACGAATCTTCAAGGACGAGGGCATTTTGACCTTCTGGTCAGGCGCCGTTCCACGTCTGGCAAGGCTTATCATGAGCGGCGGTATAGTTTTCACTATGTATGTACTAGATTGAGCCGCAATTACTGCAATCCACCCGAACAGCATGCTAATGACCGAACAGGTACGAGAAGACAATGGAGGCATTTGACACCTTCGACCCAGAAAGGCGGTATCTCTAATATATTTGCTGAATTTGGATGATATGTGCAAATCCAAGGTCCATGTATGCGCAGTTGCAGTGTGGAGATTTCGAATGGAGCTGCTAAAGTCAGAGTACACAGCATAGTGGCCATGCCACCGAATAGATTCATAGTCCTACTCCCATGTCTCCTAGGCACGTCGCTGTACCTCATCCTTGGCTGATGCTTCAGCCGCCATGACTGCAATCTCGCGATCAACGAGCCATGTCCGCACACTATCCATGACGGACTCTAGTCCCTGGCCACCAGCTAGAACGTCATCTACGTTGTGCACAGTGTGCCCGCTACGATGGTCTGTGCAGCGATTCTGTCCGTAATTGTATGTGCGAACCTTATCGCCTCGGCCCATCCGGGCGACGCCGCCCATAGCTCCTCTCCTGAGCGCAACCAGTTCCTGTTCCCGAGCCTCTCGCCTCTGTTCGGCCAGTTTCGCACGCAATACCTGCCAGGCCTTCTTTCGATTGGAATGCTGCGATCGTGAATCTTGCATCGAGACTACGATACCGGTCGGTATGTGAGTAAGACGGATAGCAGATTCGGTCTTGTTCACATGCTGTCCGCCAGCACCACTAGCTCGCATCTTCTCCGTGCGAACTTCTTGTGGGTCAATGTAATAGTCGCTATTGGGGTCATCGAACCCATTTGTTCCTTCGGTGTCATTTCCTGTGTCCGGGAAGCTAGGGAGAACCATCACACTCACAGCACTAGTGTGAGTTCGGCCCTTGGCTTCCGTGGCTGGGACTCTCTGAACCCTATGCACGCCTGACTCGGTTCTCATTGTGTCGTAGGCACCATCCGCTTCTATTTCCAGGACCGCTTCGCTCAATCGGTCCTCTGCAGAGCCTTCTCCGCCCTCTTTCTTGATGATGGTACAACGAAAGCCCAGGCGAGAGCAGAAGGCAATATACATTCTCAACAACTCAAAAGCAAACAGGCCTGCCTCATCCCCACCTGCCCCAGGCCGAATTTCAAGCAGGCATGGGAGCTCTGCAAAAGGATGGCGAGGAATGAGTGCCTTTTTGAGACTCTCTGCTATAGTGGGCAGCACGTGCTTGCTAGTTTCTAGGTCTTCAACGGCCAATGACTTCAGTTCTGTATCCGTTTCTGGGTCATCTAGCAAGGACTGTAGCTCAGATATGGACTGCAAAACGGTCAGCGAGGTAGTTCGACGTGAGAATTCAATAGTCCACATGCTTTGTTTGCATTATCCCACTCCTTGAGAGTACCTGCAACCTGTGCTATCTCCCCGATTCGCTTTGCGACCTTAGGATTGAAGGAATCGGCCAATTGCGTTGTGAGCGCGGCATGTTCGCCGGCCAGAGAGCGTGCGCGTGAGAGAAGGGCTGGAGAGAGGCCTGGAGAGAGATCTGCGACTGTTGGTTTGTGCATGAGTTCATGGCATCTCGCTAATATAACACTGGTGGAGAAACAAACAGACCTGTCTTCAAGGTCCGACGTTGTGGAAGAATGCATTGGTTAAGAGAGGCCCTAAAAGACCGCACCAGACACCGAGAGCAGACCCACGGTATGACAGTCATTTCCTAGGTCTCGGAAGAGATCAGATATCACCCAAAAGAGCCCTCCCTGCAATATGCACACTTGTTGGTAGAATTTGCTTCTTGAGCCTTAAACCACGGCCGATTTCCGCGGTCTCTGCTGTCACGTGTTGGCTGGGCTGGGTCCATGTCAGATGTTATTACAGTGAAGAACGCGACCATACCGGTATCGATCGGCATTTTGACCGAGATCAAGGCAAAAGGCGTCTGATTCAAATTTACTGCATGTACAATGTCGTAAAGGCCAGACTGGAAGATTGGGACTTACTGTATCGCAACACCCATCTCTAACAATAAATCGACGCAGTCAATGCTGACGGTTATCAACTTTCTTGAAAATATGTAACTTGCTCTCCAACCATTAGAAAGGCCATTCTCGTCCGCCTGCAACTCGTCTTTTTACTGTACTAATATGCTATTATTGTTCTAACCTTCCACCTTTCACCCATTCAGTACTTGTTGATTGATGTCTCTCTTTTCACATGATGTTCGTCTCTCTAGGATACCTTACGGTCTCCCTGGCCTTCCTATCAGTCGGCCATGGCTTGCAAACATCTTCGATATCCCCCGATACCCCGCTTTCATCTCTAATCTCGTCCGCAAAAACACATCTTGCTGAGGGATCGTCCAGGGAGGCTTTACAGTACTTCGATGCAGCTATCTCGAGGGACCCGACGAACTACCTAGTCCTGTTCCAGAGAGGCGCAGCCTACCTTTCGCTGGGCAAGAACTCTCAGGCATTGGCCGACTTTGATCGGGTCTTGCAATTGAGGCCAGGCTTCGAGAGCGCCCTCCTGCAGCGGTCCCGCCTCAGGGCTAAGTCTGCCGACTGGACAGGTGCCTTTGAGGATTTGAGCATGGCTAATAAGGGTTTGTCTTCCGAATTCAGGGAGCTTGAGGAGGCGCGCGAGTCTGCGCTGTTGGCGCAAGAAGCAGAAAAGCTTGGTTCCTGGGATACGTGCGTTGGTCAAGCGAATATAGCCCTTGGCAAAGCAAGCATGTCCCTTAGTCTTCGACAAACTCGAGCTCATTGCCGGTTTGAGCGAGGCGAAATAGAGGAGGGTCTTAGTGACCTCGCACTCATCTCCCAGATATCCCCAGGCTCGTTGGAACCTCACTTGCAAATCTCATCCATGTTGTTCTACTCCCTTGGAGACTATGACCGCGGGATCTCTCAGGTCCGCAAGTGTTTACACTCAGACCCCGACTCAAAAACATGCAATAGTCTATACCGCCGGGAAAAAAAGCTTCTAAAACAATTACAGAAGCTAGACACCGTGACGAATTCTAGAAAGTTCAACAATGTTGTCAACTTGCTGGTGGGTGTCGGTGATGATGGTGGTTTACTGGATGATGTGCAGAGCGATGTGGAACAGGCGAAAAATTCAGGATACATTCACCCTGCTGCTCCCAATCGTCTTTATGCCTCATTGGTCGAACGAACCTGTGAGGCTTACCAGGAGGTTTGCCATTGCCGTTTTCCGTTTTGTCTGACTATTCGCTAATATCTCTGATTCAGACGCAGATGCGCAAACGAGCAGCCTCCTACTGCTCTCAAGCTTTGGAATTGAATCCATCGTCCTTGGCGGGCCTTCTGTACCACGGTCAAATAGCTATCGATGAAGACCGTTTCGAGGATGCAATCAGTATACTGAACAAAGCAAAGGAGCATCATTCCAGTTCCAAGAAGGTCCAGGACCTTTTACAGAGAGCCCACATTCTTCAGAAACGCTCTAAGCAAAAGGACTACTACAAGATTCTTGGCGTTGCGCGTGATGCCGATGAGCGTACTATCAAACGTGCATATCGTCAATTGACAAAGCAACATCACCCCGACAAAGTCATTTCTCGGGGGGTTTCCAAGGAAGAGGCTGAAAAAAGGATGGCTGCTATAAACGAGGCCTACGAGGTTCTATCAGATCACGAGCTAAGAGGGCGTTATGATAGCGGCGATGACCCCAACGATCCCGAGTCACAAAGGGGCGGACCATTCCAGTCTGGGCCATTTGGTGGCGGTCAACAGTTCTTCTTCCAACAAGGCGGTCCCCAATTTAAATTTTCTGGGCAGGGTTTTAATTTTCCGGGTGGTGGCTTTCCTTTCCGTTGACAATTATCAGGTGTGTTTGGTATACCTGAAACTAGGCGCCACGCTGCTCCAAACACTGTCTTAGTAATGTATGTGGCTACTTTCCTTCTATTGAAGGCATTACCCGGCTTGTACCCCGAAATAAAATGACTTGCTGTATTTTTCTGGCATACTTTCAAGGTAATTATGAGCCCGTTGTTGGAGCCATGAGTTGGCAGTACAAAACATACCCACCGCACTTTATTGGAAACTTCGGCCAGATTGTATGATCCATGTCGTCGTGGCAGGAGACCTTGCCAGGCGAACGCCAATCATTTTTCCGGGCGATCGGTTAGAGGAACATAGCTGACTTGGAAGATCTTCTCTTTGCTGACGGACCCGTTTGCCTTCTTGTCAACAACCCATATGTACTGTCCGCCACCCAGCCCAAGGCGGCCTGTACTTTCATGTTCGCTCTCCATGTCAACCGGGATAAACATTCGCCCTGGGGCGCGAAGCTGCTCGACCAGAACAGGATGTAGCCGTTCGGCAGCTGCACCGACATGTATAGCATCATACGGTGCTCCTTCAGGCCATCCCAAGCGACCATCAGAAGTGATAAATCTCACCCTCCCTGTCTCGAGATACTTACGGCCCTGTTCAGATTTGCTCATGTTATCATGAGCCAGGTTGACAAGCTCTGGTATGTGGTCAATACCAATGACTTGGCCGTCTCTTTGGTTACCAGCTGACGAGTCAGTGACAAGGTTGGCAAATACATGGGTTAAGTAACCTGAGCCGGATCCGATGTCCAAGACGTGCGAGCCAGGCTTAAGATAGTCGATGAGGTGTTCACATGCATGGCCGTGCATATGAGGTGCAGAGATCGTCGCAGCGTGTCCGATAGGCTGTGGTGAGTCCGAGTATGGTCTTGAGGGTGCATAGTGGGCCCGATCAACCTTACATCTGTCAGACTTCCGTCTTCAAGTTCGCTCGATTTATGGACTGTTGGATGGCTTCTTATGACTGCGCTGTTTGACCGGGTCTTTAATCCCGGAGGCTAAGATCGGGGGCAAGGGGGTGCTCACGCCTTTCATAGCAATTTTCACCCTTTCGCTCTTGATTAGGCCAGTTTTGTATAGATTCTCAACTAACTCATTGTTGGTCGATCCAGAGCAGTACCACGCCATTGAGAACAGCTTCCGGCGGACGAGATGCGTGCAGTGTGTACTTGTAGGAGGAATCCCACCAATCATATAAGCCGATGTATACTCGCTGGGTACCGCAATAGCAAAATGATAGCCAGATATGTAACTTAGATTCACTGATTGACAGAAGCTAATGTGATGGGGAAGCTAGTTGCTGTTGGGCTAAGTCAAATCTGGTGGAATCTCCACTTAAGTAGTCACTGGGACAGTTACGTGTATGACATCATTCAATGCCATGGATCACATGGTCAACTGAATGATAGATACCTTAACGGCGGCTTGAAGCTTCAACTCTGCGTCTACTAGCACACGTTCTTGGCTGAGCTTCGATTGGATATGGGCATCGTTTAGGTTATTGTATGTAATGCTTGGTCGGGCACCGCCTATGTTCTATACCGAAATACGAAGAGGCACCGGTGAAAGAAATATAAATATTCTATATATACTACGGTGTACCTCGAATATTAGTTTGGCGGCCGTATGCGCTGGGTCAACGGCCGGACTTCAACTAGCAACAGTACCTAGCCAGCAAAATTAATACCCAGTGACATTCCCAAGCCCCCCAGAGAAGCGGTTTTTTACTGAGTATTATCAGACTAACATCGAACTGCCTCGGTGACGGAGGAGGTATAGGATCCTCACCTAGTATTAGTCAGCACGCATAACCTACGAGTTAGTTAACGTATTCGGCAAGCGAGTGGCGCGTGTAAGCGGGCGACGCGGTCCTGTATTCCATATTAAACCACCCTTTTTTAAACTCAGATTTCTCAATCAATTCTTGTTGATATTCAAAAAAATCTCAAAAATAATCTTCAATATCTAGCTATATCTGAATTATACTAGAACTGTTATCCAATATAACTTAATTATCTCAATACATATGTAATTTTGGTATTTTATATAATGTTTTGATAAATCTTGAATTCTTAATTCAGATTCTTTCAAAAAGTATAGGAATATATAAGGATTGTACTTAAGATTTATATATCTAAGTCTTAATTATCTAAGTATCTTTATTGTTGAGATATTCAGCTTTATAAAATTACTATTTTATATGGAATACAGCACCGCGCCGCCCGCTTACACGCGCCACTCGCTTGCCGAATATGTTAGTTACTCTGTCAATCATGTACTAATCAATTAACAACATTTCGGGATTCATTTTCTGTATCCAAGGTACCGCAGCAGTCATATCCATTGACACGGTTGGCTTGAGAGTCATTCACGTGGCCGGTCGCACAACTCGGAGTGGCCATGCAACCAGCAGAGTGGACACCATAAAAGTTGACTGCTTTCTGATATGTACCCATGGACCGTGAAGAAGCTGACCCCAATACCCAAAGAGAGGTTGATGTCCTCATATTGGATTATCTCCTCTGCACGGCAATCGAGCTACTCATATGCCACGGAAGAGCACGGATTGAAGGACAGAGGCAAGACTATCAGGATATCGATTGGTACATCAGCACAGTTGAAAGTATGTATTATCCTATTTCTATTGCTGGCACCCCTTTCGAAAAACCGACGACGCTAATGCTAATCCAGCAATCAGAACAGTATTGTTAGACCCGGATATCCTATCGAATGACATATGCACCAAAGATCGACTCTTAAAATTCACAGTGACATTTTGTCAGCGGTATGATTTCTTACAGAACCGCGACCCAGAGGCAACGGCTATGACACTACTGGTCAACTTTCTCGCGCTATGTGAGGGAGCAGAGAGCCTCCCAGCACTTAGAGATGCTATATTCGCCCATTTGATCATGGAAGCCGCTTCGGAGGAGCTGGCGGCAACCGACAGTCAGCCAATTCCAGAATACGATGAGTGTATCCACCGCGTGCACGAGGCCATAGGCCAAACTTTGCAGTCAAAAGGAAAACGAGACTACCTGAAATACTTTCAGCCGTCATGCGATCTTCCGCTGGAGGTGCACATACAATCCATGTCGAATAAATTGCCCACGGCCCAGCTTGTATCTGCAGTATTCGACTTCCTGATTGACTTGATGAAGTCGCTAAATCCACCAGTACTTTTGCAGCTCGAAAGAGGGAAACTCGACGGACTCACTCGTGAAGAGACCAGGCGGCTAAAAGACAAAATAGGAATCTGATGGCCGAAATCCGGGGACTCGTACAAATCAAACCTGGAGATCGGTGACAGGAACCACGAGAGTGGCTGGAATTATCGGCTTTATACATGGAGAAAACACAGAAATTAATGTTGATGAATGATTTCTAAAATGGATCCATACAAAACGTTATTCTACACGCCAAGATATCAGGAACGGGTGGGAACGGCAGTGTTCCGTGAGGCTCCGCTGTTAATCGGTTCAAGTGTCGTAGCAGGTGATTCAGCCCAGTAGCATGCGACGGGGGTCTTCGATATATTCCTTGACCTGAAAGTAAATGAATAATATGATTAGCTTCTGACCAGAAGATAGGCCTAAGATCCGATGACTAACCTTAACAAGGAATGTAACAGCCTCCCGGCCATCCAAGAGTCGGTGGTCGTAGGTCAGAGCAAGATACATCATCTAATTCAGTCATCAGTTGAAGCAAAAGACAGCCGGCAAGGATGTAGCAGCAGCTTACAGGACGTATCTCGATTTTACCGTTGACAGCAACTGGCTTGTCCTTGATGGCATGGAGTCCAAGAACGGCTTGGACAGGTTAGTCAATATACAACAAAGCAACTTCAGGCGGAACTTACCCGTCTGTGGAAGATTAATGATAGGCGTGCCCATGAGAGAACCAAAAACACCACCCTGATAATTAGAGCAAGATGTCAGTGAGAACACTTGTGAGGACGCGCATATCAGTACTTACGTTGCTGATGGTGAAAGAGCCTCCGGCCATATCCTCAATCGTCAACTTGTTGTCACGGGCCTAGAAGCAGGATTTATGTCAGATTGCAGAAGCTTCGCCAGCTTAGATGACTGACCTTCTTGCCAAGGTCTGCAATGGACTTTTCGATGCCAACAAGATCCATAGTCTCCGCGTTGCGGACGACCGGCGTAACAAGGCCCTTTTCAGTGGCGACGGCTACACTGATATCAACGTAGTCACGATAAACAATGGTGTCACCGCCGTTTGGTCCTTCGATAGATGCATTGACAGCGGGGACGTCTTTCATGGCCAGGACGCATGCACGAGAGAAGGCGCTCATGAATCCGAGCTTGACACCCGTCTTCTTCAGCACATCATCTTTATAAAGTTTCCTGAACTCCATGAGTGACGACATGTCGACCTCGTTGAAGGTGGTGAGAGAGGCCGCCGTGTTCTGTGATTGCTTCAAGCGCTCGGCGATTCTCAGTCTCATTCTGTTCATCTTGACCTGTGAATAGTATACCATGTTAGCGGTACCGAGGCAGGGCATTACATATTAATCAGGTACTCAAGGATGGAAACGAACCCTCCGCTCCTCGCGGCCTCCGATGCTGGGCTTGCTGTCTTCAGCGGCCTGTGGCTTTGATGCAGTGGGTTGCGACTTCTTGGGCTCACTGTCTTTGGCGGCAGGCTTCTCAGAAGCGGGCGCTTTCGTTGACTCAGACGTCTTTGGTTGCTCTGGCTCCGAGGCCGTAGGTTTCTCGGGGCTTGCTGGTTCTGCGGGCTTCTGAGATGCCTCCTCCTCTTTCTTGCCTTCAGGAGCATCTCCCAGTTCCAACCTGACAAGGTCCTGACCAACCGTAACGGTGTCTTCTTCGCTCACCAGGAACTCCTTAATCGTGCCAGACTCAGGAGCATTGACGGAGACGTCGATCTAGAACAAATTAGTCACTGCTCATCAGTAGAAACCGTCAAGTCTACGGTCAAGGAGGTTCCTACCTTATCAGTTTCAATTGTCGCAAGCTCCTCGTCCCGTTCAACATAATCTCCAACCTCTTATGATATTGTCAGCTGCGTATGGTAGCATAATGGAGAGAATCTCACGTTTCGAAAACTGCTTTAAGGTGCCCTCGGTGATAGACTCGGCCATCTGCGGGACTTTGACAACGGTGTCCGCTATAAGTAACGCAGTTAGTGTAGTTGGCAGACAACGGGGTGTTATAACTACCATAGGTTCTAACTTGATGGGCTCCAAAGGGAGCGGCGACAAGAGGGCTGTAGGTGAATCTTTTGAGCTTCTCTGGGTCGTTTGTGGCTACCCAAGCCATATCAGTAGGGAGGACTTACCTCAAACCGTTGAACCGTTGCAGACCGGAGTTTAGCCGGCCGGCCATTTTCACATTTTTTTGGAGCGCATTTGAAGTGAAACCCCTGGAGCGACCGAGTGAAGCAGTGCGGCAAACCTGAGCACTTCGAGGCAAACTTCTCAGGTGTTGCCCAGGCAGACGATGGAAAGGTAGTCGAGAAGCCATGGTGACCCGATCGTGGGAGGAACAGATAAGCAAGATTGAAGTAATCAGTAGCAGCAATCAGATAACTAGATACTAGCCTAAGCCACAGAATGTTCCCTGACAAGCAGACGAAAGGAAGACAGCTTGTGTCGTAATGTGAGGTGAGTTCAATTGGCGAAAGTAGACGGGGTGACGAAACTTATGTCGGGGTACGTGAGCTTGAGCCCGGGCCGACCGGAGACAACCGGGATTTCTCTCAAGAGCAGCTGCATTTTCCCTGCGGCCGGCAAATGAACGGAGTATAATTATTACGCTATTCCGGTCACCCAGTTAAACCAACTTTGCAGTATCAGTGTCCGCCAAGCACCGCGACGGCCAAATAGTCGTATGAGGTGAAACTCGAAACCGCGGAACATCATCGTCATCAATTCTTCAACTCTGATCTCTGCAGACACCATGCCTCTCAGCGCTGCCGCGTAAGTCGTTCAATTGGGAAAATCACAAGGTGAATCTGATCATGCCTCATAGCTCCCTCTATCGCCGGTCCCTCAAGCTTGCCCTGGATTGGGCTGTTCACCGTCAGGTCTGGCGAGGACAGGCCGTTTACATTCGCTCGCTGTTCGAGGCGAATAAAGACGTTCGCGACCCCCGTCAACAGAAGGTACTCAAGGCTTGAAGCCGCGATGCTCCTAGAATTCGCCGACATACATTAACAGCAAATCAACAGGTGCTGTTACAGGAAACCGAGAAACTGTTGGAAACATGGAAGCACCCGGATCCCTACCGCGCGCCGACTGCCCCTGGAGGTATCCTATTGCTAGCCCCTCTTCCTAGTTACAAGAACCATGTGCTAACTCTTCTTCAGGCAGCAAATGGGAGAGAAACCTTCCCGCGCCCCAGTTGCCTCGTAAGTTCATGCGCTCTGCTGTCTAAAGTCGGTGTTTGGTTCGTATTAAGTACTGACATCCACACTAGTTGCTGCACAGCCTGCGGGCCACTGATTGTCATTTAAATATCATTATTAGCATACCTGTTAGCCGCATACAAGAGCGGAATATCCCACTTGCAAGACCGGCTTGGCCAGGGAACGTAGATCCCGGATTCCCCTTTACAGACCGCATCTGAGAGGGTAATGAAAATACTAAATTTATCGAATTGGCAAATAGCAGGATTTCGCGAAAGATTGAATCCATGAATAATTCTGTCGGTATCATTCCATGTCCGTAGACATAATGTACAACCATGAAACTAAAAGCTAAAAAGTACGAAAAAAACGCAGAGCCATTAACGTGCCCAGACCAGAACCCCGTTATCACATCAATAAGAGAACCAATCCACGCCGAATCAGAAAACCCAAACCAAAGAAAAATTGTTCACAGCTCCTGGCTACCCGAGCCCTTACCACTCTTAGGAGTCTTCTTGGGCAGAAGGTCTATAACATGTTAGTGGTTGAATCAGTTGGCGGGGTCCGGGGATTGGAGACGCACTCTGGTGGATGTTGGGGAGAACACCGCCCTGGGCGATGGTAACGTGTCCAAGAAGCTTGTTCAACTCCTCGTCGTTTCTGATGGCGAGCTGGAGATGACGGGGAATGATACGGGTCTTCTTGTTGTCGCGGGCAGCATTACCTGCCAACTCGAGAATTTCGGCAGCAAGATATTCGAGAACAGCAGCGAGATAGACCGGAGCGCCTGATACAATGTCAGTATCTGAGAATGATATGCACTTCCAGAAGAACTTACCAGCACCAACACGCTGAGCATAGTTACCCTTGCGGAGAAGACGGTGAACACGACCAACGGGGAACGCGAGACCGGCCTTGGACGAACGGCTAGAGGATGAGGTTAGCTTATACCCAGCGGTGATTGACAAATGGAGGCTCTCACGATTGGGCGTTCTTGCTGCCGCTGGCCTTGCCTCCAGACTTTCCTCCAGTCATTTTGACGATTGTGAACTTTCTTTTTCTAAAGTGTCGTGAGAAAAAGCGGTATGAGATGGGGTCAATACGTTGACAAGAGCGAGGGTGCTTTATGGGGTTAAAGGGTTGACGGCGAACGCGAGGGAGCGGAGGACATATATAATAACGCGACAAGGGTGACGTTGGGATACCAAGGAGCCTTTCAGATCACCCTCTCGCTTAGCGGGGCCAACCAATCAAAGGGGAGATCATATCACCGCGCGCCGATGGCTTGGCGGAGATGGATTTGGCATGATTCCACCTGGCACCGGCTAGGGGTTGCCGTATCAGGTATAGCACTGTAATGAATAGGCGCTGTTTCTGTACAGTCATGCTAGCGTGATTCGGGGCGTTTCAAGGCGGCAGCTGACGCGTTCCACACCATTTAATCATACAGATCATACGTAATCATTACTGTATTGAAATTCTGCTTCTTTCGTGGACCTCAGGATCAACTGGGCATTTGCGAGCTGGTATAAGTAGCGCGCCTCTCTCGTCACCGCGTCTCCCTCATTCTAGTTTTCCTCACCATTCTATCCACCGTCTTACTCCACGCATCAAATCACCACTTCTCTCATTCACCACCTACCTTCGCCGTTTCAACTGAAATAATTACAAAATGCCTCCCAAAGCTGCCGAGAAGAAGCCCAGCACTGGTGGCAAGGCCCCTGCTGGTGGAAAGGCCCCCGCCGAGAAGAAGGAAGCCGGCAAGAAGACCGCTGCTGCCAGCACTGGTGACAAGAAGAAGCGTGGAAAGACCAGGAAGGAGACCTACTCTTCTTACATCTACAAGGGTTGGTTTACCTCTATTCGGTAGCGCATATGAAGCTAACCCGCGCTCTAGTCTTGAAGCAGGTCCACCCCGACACTGGTATCTCCACTCGTGCTATGTCCATTCTGAACTCTTTCGTCAACGGTACGTCTATCTTGGTTTTGTACTGTGTGGCTGCGAGTCCTGACTTTATAGATATCTTCGAGCGCGTTGCTACCGAGGCCTCGAAGCTCGCTGCTTACAACAAGAAGTCCACTATCTCGTCGCGGGAGATTCAAACCTCGTAAGTCGTCAAGCTTATGGTTCATATGGCACCGGCTAATGATAAATAGTGTGAGGCTTATCCTTCCCGGCGAATTGGCAAAGCACGCGGTGTCTGAGGGCACCAAGGCTGTTACAAAGTACTCTTCTTCTGCCAAATAAGCTTTTTCTTTGGTGTTTTTTTTTTGTTTCTGCGGGATTGTTTTTATGCTACCTCGTCATCAGCAACGGTTCTGAGGTGGCGGGTACAGGGTGTTCGCGGGATTTTTCTAATGTGTCATGGGATGGCTTTATTTTTTTCCCCTTGGGCCAAATGTTTTTTACGGTTTTCGTGACATGAATGCGGTGTAACATAACTCGGATCTGGGGTCGGTTGCGCGATTTTGCCCCCCCCCCCCCCCCTAGCAGAATTCGATTTCTGAATTGCTTTACAAATCCAAGGGTACGTTAACGCAGCTCTATCAAATTGAACTGGGAATTGTAAGAATCTCTTTGGCTGGAGTTGTGGGTTCATTTGAGAATATCTATTCTGTATCATCCAGCACTTCAACCTCGTCCAGCGCGTTTCGTTCCATCGGTGTATGAGATACTTCGTCGATGATGTGAATTATGCCCCGCCCTTTGACGGAATTGACCCGATTGACCCAATCCTGCCAGTCTTCTTCGCTTTGGATGAGGAAACCTATCAGCATGCTTGGATCCATGTCCTGTAAGTGCATCCTCCTCAGTCGCCGCGTGTGATAAGTATCGATATCGTCTTCGGAATATAGTTCGCTAATATCATGGCTTGGAAGCGCTGGGCGGGTGAAGTGGGGGTCAAGATAGAATAATTGCGATCCCTGATGGCCTACAAAATAATGTGAAGCCGAAGGGCGTCCCCTACATGAATTGGAGGCATCAGCTTGGTATGGCAATGAATATAATTTCGGGGGGCATACCCTGCTATACCAACCGACTGTGGGAATTGTAACGCGGCCTTCAGCCCATTCCAATAGACCGGGGTCACGCGGTCAATCCCCAGTCTAATTCCAAGGAGTATGAGCGTCGGTTGAATTGTGCCGGAGCGATTGCAGGCCACGTTCATGAACTTATCTCGATAAACCTCCCCTGTGTCATTGGTGACATATACTTTCAGAGCTGGTTCTTTCCACTGATCACAAAGCGCTCTGGCTTGCTTCTTAGTTTCGACTCGGCATCTCGATGACTAGATCCTACTTACTGGATGCATCTGGCAGTTGCGGATGGCCCAAACCACTCCCCCGGAAATTTACCACATGATTGGGCACCATGCTGTACAAACCTGTGGATGGAAAAGGGGGCATTCGGGCTGTCTGCAAAAAGTGATAGCAGCTTGGATTCCTCTTCGCGACTCTGTCCGCGGCGCCAATCTAGTGAGATGTCAGCGGGACAGTGTGGCCGGGTGTTTGACGGCGAAGGTGATAGTTCCCACCGCGGCCAAACAGGGTCAAGACCATCGCATTAATCAGTAGACTTTGACCCGATCTTATCATGCAACCCCAGCCAGTATCGGATGTAAAGCCCTGGGAGTCTAGCAACTGACTTCGTAGTCGGACGCTTAGTGTCATGGATGCCTTCGTATCATGGTCATCGAGTTTAGGTATTGGTGCGAAGTTTGACCGGTAGGTCATCCAGATCCTCGATTCGAAATCAGTGATAAACGCTTCTGGCCAACTATGCTGCGAATTGTCTTGGGCCCTTGACGTCGCTGGTACAATCTCATCTCCCTCGTGACCTCCCAGGCTGTCGTTATCTACGCGGCATGCAGGTATTAGTTGGTCTGTCCTCTTGCTCCGTATGATTTCTCTCTTTCGCTGCGTGTGTGGCTTCTTTCTCGTATGTCTGGTTCTCTGTGGTTGCGGGTAGGCTTACGGGTCTTGGTCTGTGAAGCTCTTCTCGCCTCAGCAGGAGGGTACTCTACACCCAGGCACCAGATGGGTTCGTAAGGTTCTCTGTCATTTCTGGGCTCGGGGTCCCATATGTACTGCACGATGCGCTTGCTACACCGACCGATGTCAGCAGCATTCATGGCTTCGCGTTTTCTGTGTCTGTAGGGTACTCAGCTCTGGTCGCTCAAAGGATGGTTGTCGCCGGGTGGGTTGCTACGTCAGTATATTGGTGTGGGTCAGAGATATCGCCGGCCCGCTTTGGTCATGCGGGATCTGCCAGGTGAGCACCGCTAAAAGGCGATACGGCTGGAGTGTGTTGTTGGTAGAGTATGATGGGCCCGTGGGTACGCGAATTGTGCTTGGGTGTTCAGTCGCTGTGAATATGATTGAGCAGACGATGTTCCGTCCACTATTCTGCTGTGGGCTTCGGTCAGCTACGTCTTATATACGCAATGTTGTAGTATTAAATATATATACATATATATATATCGTGGGTCATTGCAAGTTCCGATGCGCACCTATTCATTAGATGACTGCTCGGTTCCAACCAAATATTAGAGTACTGCCCAAAGCAATATAACGGAATCACAGTCGCATGTATAGCCAACATATGAGCAAATCCAACACGACTTATTTCTACCAGCGCAGCTTCGATAAGAATATACAATATCCACCAGGGTGGGGTGCGGACAAATCCACCCTCCCCCGGCCGATTACTACTCACCGCCCACAAGAGCAGGGAAAAGCAGAAACCCCGAGCCCGGGTTCTCGGCCAGCCAGTGGCCACTCTTGTATATGCCTGAGGCACCAGGGCAACTTAAAACGACTAACAAGTATCTTCATGTTCCGTCACCCGCAAGCCCCCAAGAAAAGTACCACCATCAGCCAACATATTGCCCCACATCCCTCACATATCTCAGTATAGCGACAAGAAAGAGGTGCGTTTGCACCGAGAGCGAGGTCAAGATGCCGCGGTCGAAGGCGAAAATCCGGGGGAAAAAGTCCAATACAATGGTTTCCTGCTCCCCAGGTATTTACGCTACGCACTCTTAATCCACAATTCATCAACTAATGCCCCAGAAGCCCATCGCAAAAGCCACCTCACTTTGCAACAAGAAGCACGCAATACAGAGGGTCGCAGCTCACAGAGGGTAGACATATCTCTGCGTCATCATGCAGTACAATTTATCAGCGCAGGAAGCACACATTTAGAACAAGAACAGGAGTTACAGTCCCCAGAGTCTCCCGACAGATACCAGGAACCCCAAGCAGAAGACTTATCTGATGCGGCTGCAAGATCAAACTCATCACCTGAGGCTGACCATGACGTATGCCGCTCGACGCTGCCTACCGAAGGCATCTCATCCACAGGCACCCGGGATACAGCCATCAGACCCAATTCAGCACAGGCGGAGGATACTAGCGAGGATGAGGTGGTATTCCCAGGGCGTAGAAGCCAGCCGGTTGAGTACAGACCTGACAAAAAAATGACAACACCAGCCACCACGAATACTTCGACCGCTACCGAAAGAACCGTCCCTGGCACTCTGCGAGACTCCCCCGATTCAAACCTCAGAAATGTTTCGTCGAGAGATTCTAACATGACATTGCCACAAGTCTGGTCGGTCGAACAGGCGTTGAGCGAATGCGCAGATTACATCGACCTCGGGGACCAAAGGTCAAAGAAGAAGAAGAAGAAGAAGCAGCAGAAGAAAGACCAGAAAGAATACCTGGCAGAGGAAGAGGCAATTCTTCATGACTACATAGCCAATATGGATGAAGAGTACCTGGCATTGAACGGCGAATGCAACAAGGAAACAGGCTCGGAAGCGTCCGCCGCGGCGCAGACGTGTCGTTCTCCACATTCCAGCATTGGGAGTCCCGGACCTGCAGACGGGGAAGCACCATCACCCGAAGACCCCCCCCGCCAGTCATTGTCTAAAAGTCGCGTTGACCGTGTAGAATGTGGGTGCAATAGATTCGCAACACCTGTTTCACTGCTGATGGCACCAGGTGATGAATTGGACACCACGCAAAGTCAGTCGATAATGCAATATTTGGACGCACTTGATCGGAAAAGCATCCAACTGAGCGACACTGATACCGACAATCCTGACGAGGATCGACCGGAAAACGTGGCACTGTCCGACGCATATTCTAATCCTGACAGTGCTGATAGTATTGAGTGGGAAATAAGCGGTCATCCCACGCACTTGCAGCGAAAACATGAAGAAGAAAGTATTTTTGCATCGGCGACTGCCTTTGCTGACGCGTTAGATCTCGATCCTTACTATGGCTTCGACATCATGGATTTCAATCGACCAAGTCTGACTAAGAAAAACAAAGGAAAAGCTGCCGCATGCAATGTCAATTTATCCGACAGTGACCTCGAAGCAGAACTTCTGAATGCGTGGGAAACCGACCGAGCCAAAAAAAAATCGAGGAAGCAACAAAGAGAGCAACTTCGCTCGCAAGGTTTACTTGGTCGACGAAATGGTGAGCCAGATCTTAAAATCAAGTATGCGAAGGGAATGAACATCGACGAATTAAAGACGGAAGTACGACTCTTCTTGTTGTCAACAAAAGAAAGGTAACTTCGGTCCCTTCCCCTTTATGCTCCGGTACCACTCATTCTAACGCAGATGGCACAAAACAGCTTGGTCCTCCCTCCCATGGGAAAGCAACAACGAAAGCTAGTGCATGAACTAGCAAACACACTAAGTCTAAATTCCCAGTCCCGAGGCAAGGGATCAAACCGGTTCCCAGTAATGCATAAAACATCGCGGACCCCGGGTTTCAACCAGCGGACCTTACCTCAACTGGAAAGAATGCTGTCCAAGGGTAAGTTCAGCCAGCGAGGAGGTAAACACCGGGACCACAAAGCAGTAAGACCGGTCAAATCTCAGCGCGGACGCCCTGACGCATCGGCGTCATACATGGATGGTGAAGTTGTTGGTGCTTCTGCGCCGGAAATCGGCGCTGGAAACAAGGGAAGAGCTATGCTTGAGAAGATGGGTTGGAGCATTGGAACCCCGTTGGGGGCCATCAACAACAAGGGCATCCTACAGCCGGTTGCGCATGTTGTCAAAAATTCCAGGACCGGCCTTGGCTAGATCAACCTGTACGAAGCACGCTCACGACAATGTTGGCTCATTAGGTAGATCGTGAATCACTACATAGAAGTCCCATGTTTGATGATTCATGACGTTTTCAGCTATGCTGCTGGTCACCGAGACGAACAGACAAGAAAGTTGGACAAATAATTAAAGCATGTGATATAGTATGAGAGATGATCAAACAGTGTTGCTTCGTGCCTTATCTTTTGAATGAAGCAGCTTGCACCTGAGGCCGAGCGTGGTTAAACTTTTTGATGTGACTGAACATTTGTGACCTGGAGGCAAAAGCCACACCACATGTGGTGCATATGATGCCTTGGGGCTGGCCTTCGGCTTGTTGCGCCTTCCTCAGGCGCTTTTGTTTCGCCTTACCAAGCTTCTTCGGAATCTTCAATGGCGGTTCGTTCATTTGAGATGCTGACAGATACTGCGCTAAATTATCCACAGTATCTGATGCCTCCCGTATACCACCATTCACCGGCTGGAGTCGACTTCTGACAGAATCTCTGGGGGCATAGTCAGTGTCGTAATCTGATATAGTATCAAGCTCTTCAGTTGAACAAGAAGAAGTGCTGATCTTGACATTTGGTTCAGAGCTACTGTTGTTATTGTCTTCACTGTTTGCTTCTGTAAATGGACCACGATTCGACGAATTGTGATTGGGTGAAATTGATGGTGACTCGCTATTCGCATCCGAGGTGGATGTTGCAGTGTTGTAAAGGACTGCGTTTGCTTGCTGCCCATCATGAGTAGACAGATCGTTCGCCAGTCCTAGTTGCTCATCTTCAGCCCTCATGTCTCTTTGCAACTGCTTGACAGCTTTGATGTGTTTCTTGCTTCGTTCATGTGCCTCGAATTGTTTGGCGCTCTTAAAACTTTTGGCGCATACGACACAGTCAAGAATTTCCACCGAAGCCTCAGCGGTACTGCTCTTGCCATCGGAATCGTTCTCGTAGTAGTCCTCTGATCTAGCCCATTCCGGCGCAACATAATCACGGAACTTAGCCTGATTGACTGCTCGTGACTTGGCAGCTTGCGCGGCAGTGGATCGTCGAAGAAACTCTTGTCGCTGAGATTCACTCTGAACACTGGACCTGTATCGTGGGTCACGCTTTTTAACAAACGCCACGAGCGACCTAACCGCATCATTGAATTCCCGAACACCTTCCTCACGTAGGCGTTTATTCTCTTTCTCCATCAACCGCCGAACACGGCGATCTGGAGCTTCCGCATAACGATAGATATCTTTCCATGCAAATGTTTTTCTGGTCGAGAAGCTACTCCATACTGCATAGAATGGACGGACGACCTCCTCATAATCATCGTCACGGTGACCAAATGTTGGATAGTAAGTTGTATCTGTTCTTTCGCCACAACGATCCAGCTCTTCCTCCAGAGCAAGACGTGAGAAGACTTCACGGAGTCCACCATAAAACCCTTCCGGAGAATCAGAAAACTCCATCTGCGGGCTGAACCGGGAGAACAACCTGAATATATCATCTGCAGTGGTGATTCTAGTATTATTGTGGAACCTGACATCTTCCGATCTGCCATCATTTCCTAGAACTGCATCTCGATGAGAGTCGTACCAAGCGCGTTCTTGGGGATCCGAGAGCACTTCGTAGGCAGCTTGAACCTCAGCAAATAGCTTTGTGGCATTTTCAACATTGCCAAAGTTCTTATCCGGATGTAACTCAAGGGCCTTTCTTCTATACGCCTTCTTGATCCTTGCGGGCGCATGGTGTCAGTCATTCGGGAAGTCGACTATAAACGCGCTGGATGAGACAAGTCTAAGGAATTCGCTTACTCCTCTCCCGATGCATTTCTAGCGACCTGCAATAGTTCATAATAATCAACTCTCTTATCGGTCGAGGAATCTGCAATCCCTGTGTTCGCTGTAGAATAGTATTGGCCCATGCCAGCGGTGATTATCCAGAACTCTCTTCAAGAGATAAGGAATGGTCTTTTCGTTCTTCGGGAAGCTTTGAGAAGAGACGTACGAAAAGTTCCCGCTATCCGCCTGCTTCTGATTCGTTCCCTGATCATCAATGATATCTAGGTACTATTACGTACCGCGCGATACTAGCATCTTATTGCTGACCCAGCCCAGCCATTTCTCCTACTCTCAAGAGTTGTCTCCGAGTCCCTGTTTATCGTAATGGTTTTGTCTCTTGATTGCCTCCCAGAAGAGCTATTACAACAAATCCTTTATTACTGCCAACCCCACTCCACGGCTGCACTAGAACAGACAGCTCGCCGGTTCCGTGGCGTCACAAATGAACCGACAGTATGGCGCTATTATTGTTTGACCAGGTTCAAGTTCTGGGCTCCTGGGCACGAAATTTCCAGGAGACTGGTAGGCCCGATATCAGGTTCCAGTTGGAAACAGCTCTATATAGTGAAGCATTCGAGCTACCGCGCAACTACACGTCTACTGGATAGCATCCTCTCCAGCCAGGCTGGAAGGATTGAGAAGTTTCAAGCGATAATTGACCTTGGGTACGATGCTAAAGATGCCCTTCTACACAATATCTCTGCTGGGTCAAATATGGATGACCATTTGGCAAGGAGGTTGGTACCGTTGACCATTTTAACATGCTACTTTTTTTGACCTTTTCCCCCCAATGAAAGATACTACGCTAGGGCAGTTCTGACCGGTCTACATCGGAGTCTCGCCATCCGTGAGTGGGCAAAGCTCAGGAATGGAGACAATGTATCACTGAGTAGAGCGCTGGGAGCGTTCGACCTCTTCATCCCTGAGAGTGGATTCGGCAGTCTCGATGAGGTAGGTGCACACTGATGCATGAAAATGCCATTGTAGCTAATTCGCACCACAAGATAATTGTCGAGCTCGATGATATCATGTCCTCGATTATCAAAAGTCACCCTGATATTCATCTATTGACATGTCGTGATAAGGCTAGAACCATTGCAACATTTCTGAGAACAAACAACTTTACTGGCATCGAGCCAGGGAGAGGCTATCATCGCTTAGAGCATAACTTCATAGGTGTTTCGTTAAATGATCCTGCACACAACTCACTTCCATTAATTTCGGCTGCCATTTATTGCCACGTTGCACGGGGACTAGGCCTTGACGCCCGGCCATGCGGATTCCCTTTCCACGTCCATGTAATAGTCGTGCCTCCTATCGGATTTGATGTCGATGGTCATGAACTTGAAGCTGGAACACAAGGACATCCGATTTATATGGATCCGTTTCGATCAGACAAAGAAACCCCGATCGCAGATCTACAAAATCAATTGAACTTCTTGGGAGCATCCACCGCTGAGCAATCGACGTTTCTCGGGGAGTCCCAAGTACCGGAGATTGTACTTCGATGCGCTAAGAACATACTAAATTCCCTCCAGCGCGGTAGCAACTTCCTTGGCGTGCGATCAGCTTCGGTTGACTTGGTCAGTGCAAAATATGCCGCAGTTTGGTCATCTATGCTGCTTTCCGACCCTGCTCGGCCAATCGAGCTAAAGCATAGCCTTACGTGTTTGATGGAGCTCCTAGCCATGGAATTTCCGTCGGATGTAAATTTGGTTCAGCGGTTCATTACTCCTCTTTTCTACGGTATGGCTGAGTATGACAATATCTTGGAAAGTCTTCATGTCATGCGGGCTGTAGACGGGATTCCAAGGGAGGTCAAAGAGCGCTCTCCTCGGCATGGTACCGTCAAATATAAAATTGGTCAAGTCTTCATGCATCGTCGATATGCATACAGAGCTATCATCACGGGGTGGGATGTGGAATGTGGTGCGGGCGAACAGTGGATGAGAAGAATGGGCGTGGACCGTCTTCAGGACGGTCGTCACCAGAGCTTTTATCATGTCCTGTATGTCAATCTGCTACATGGTGATTTATTGACTGGTCGTGAAGCTGACAGTTCTAGTGTTGAGGATAAAAGTTTTCGGTATGTGGCAGAGGAGAACATTGAGCCTTTTGTCACTGATATAACAGATCTTCCGCACAGCCTAGTTGCTACTGCAGGAAAACACTTCAAGAGGTGGGACGTTGATCGCAGAGTTTTTGTCAGCAATATAAGGGATGAGTATCCAAATGATTAACAGGGACGCTATAGGAATTCCGGAACTTGTATAATTATGAGACTTGTTATGTATTCGTGGTACTATGGGCTTTTAAGCTGGTATAGGCAAGGTAGTCATTTACTTTATTCTTCTTTGTTACCTAATAGGAAATATCTTTAGAATAGTATTCAATATCTTGGTGTAGTAAAACCTTGGTCCTGAGATAATAATATATATTATAATTAAGTATAATAGACACTCTACAGAAAACCGAAGAAATAATAGAGGATTTCTATATTTCTAAAATAGTTAAAGGTAATGGCGCCTTCAAGGTATAGAAAAGAGATGATATTCAGACTATGGATAACGTAATCGTCAACCGAGCGAGCCACGCAAGCGAGCGAGCCACCCAAACCGCCTAAATACCTCACCAAATGCCTCACTAACATGAATTCTGATTTATATATAAAAATATAGTGTTTTAAAGCCTTAATTATACTATTTTAAATATCTTTTTACCCAGTTCTTTAATTAGGATATCTTGTATATATATAGCCTAGAATATTATAATTACTATACTAGAAAAGTACCTGATAGTAAGACTATTAATTCTCTATATAAATTACTTTATTCTTCTTTCTCTTATATTAGAATACTTTTTTTACTTTATTAATAATAAAACTATTTAAACTAATAAATTACTTTTTACTTTACTATTTCTTAGTATTTAGTCTCTTATTTACCCAGTATAGTTCTTAGATTTTCTACTTTAATAAAACCACCTAGTTTAGAATTATTTTAGTATTCTTAAAGATATAGCCTAAGGCTGATTTTATTAGTATATTAATTATATTATTAATTAGTTCTTAATGCCTTAATTCTTGTTTCTTAAATTAATTTATATTAATTAGTATTTTTAAGAATATAAATTAAGAATCTTAGCTACTTAATTAATTTAAAAAATTCTTATAAATTAATTTATTAAATATTTAATTTAGTTTATACAGAACCAAGCCTAAAGTTTTAAAAATATTATATATATTATTTTTTTAAATACTATAGTATAGGTCTTTAAATATTTCTCTAAAAAATTATCTTTTTTAATCTTTAAATATTAAGTATATATAAGATATTCTATTAAGTTATAATATATCTTCTTAAAAAATATAAAATAAAAGATATTTAATAACTAGTAGAGATAAAATAAACCAAAAAATATATAAATTAAAATAATATTATTAATATAATATAAATTATTAAATTAAGATATTAAATAAAAATTATAATTATCTAGAATTAATAAATTATATTTACTAGTTCTTTAACTAATTATTAATAAAATAAAGTAATTTTTAAGCTAATATAAATTAATTTTATTACTTATTCAGCTATTTAGTAATATATTAATTTTTTAATTATCTAGAATTAAGATTTTATACTAGTTCTTTATATAATTTATTTTTTCAAAAATTAAGTATAACTTTAAAGCCCAGTTAGTAATATTAATATATTTAATTAAAATTATTTATTCTTAGTTACCTAACTGAGTTAAAAAAGATTTTTTTTAATAATTTAATTATATAATTATTTTAGCTATTATAATCTAGCCTATTATAAAATCTATTTTATTAAAATTAAAAATATTTTTTTAAGAATTCTATACTTTAATATAATTTTATAAATATAGTTAAACTAGGTCTGTATAATCTATAGATTTTTATATTTTATTTATTTAGTATCTAGCTAGTAGAAATATTAACTTTTTAAAACTTTATAATAATTAATATAATTAATAATCTATTTTTTTTACTAGTTATAATAGTTTTTAATTATTATATGTTTAAAATAGTATATTAGCTATCTTATAAACTGCTGAGTTTCTTAGAGATATATTATAAATATTAAATAAAAAAATTTACTTCTTAAGTATTTCTTTTTTTTTATAGTAAACTTATAGAAATTTAAGTAAGTTTCTTTATAAAATAAATAATTATTAAAATAATATTAAAGAATTAAATAAGGAATATTAAATTCTACTATAATTATATAAACTAAATAAAATTAACTGGTTTTTATAGCTTTAATAGTAAGAAGAATTTGGCCCTCTTGATATACCCACTCTTTTAATAATTTTAGTATTTTTAGTGATAAAATTAATGGTTAAATTACTTCGTTTCTCAGAGGTGGAAGGATTCAGGGGGGTGGCTTACTTGCTTACGTGGCTCGCTCGGTTAATAATTACGTTATAATAATCCTTGGCTTAACTAAGGATTCTACTCTTTTATCTTTCGGTTATCTTCTATAATATCTTGATAAAAGACTTCTTAGATCTCTAAGTTTTACCTATCTGTAACAGTATTCAGGAATACTAAATAGTTCTACTGTTTTTTATCATCTTTAGTAGAATACTTAACTAAGAATCCTATTCTAGAAACCTTCTTAGAATAATTATTATCTATCTATATTTTTATAATATACTTATATCTTGAATATAACTATTTAAAAATTTTCTAAAAAAAGTAACAAAACTTTATCTTCTAAATTATGTTATAAATTTTTCAAAAAATATAATTTTATATAAAGTGGATTTATAAGCTTATTTTAAATCATTTGTTAGGATTTAAAAAATTAGAATCTTAAAAAAAATATCTAAATTTAATTTAGTTTATTATTTTTAAATTAATTCTTATAGAAAAGTTCTTATTCAAAAACTAATGTTTTTAATATAAAAATTAAAATCTGTTTTTACTTAATTAATTAAACCTTTCTGTTCTGTTCAAATTATCTAATATTAATTAATTTAATTTTTTTTATAATTTTTTAATTAATATTCTTAATCAAATATTTCTTATCTTATTATTTGTTTTTTTTAATAAATTAATAAAGTAGATAATAATTTTTATATATAATCTTTTCAATTTATAGTAATTCTTAGCTTATTTAAGGATTCTACTGTTGTATCTTTCTATTATTTTTTATATTATTCTAATAAAATATTTCTTAGGTCTTTAAATTTTAGTTATCATTAAAAAAGAATCTAAGTAATTCTTTAATTATTTATTTTTTAGCCTTTGTAAGGAAGGTACAATGGGATTCATTCAAAACAATAGCCAGTCAGCCAACATTACCCACAATCCCTGATTCAGGCCTGAATCAGGCTATTATGGACCCATTGACCCTAGTTATGTAATTGACTGCCTGAGGCAGGCTTGTAAGGTCACCTGATCCTTACAGCCTTCATTATTAAGTATCATAATATATAAATTATTATATTAAGATTTATATTAATTAATTTATCATTTTTTCAATTTTTATTTTTATTTAATATTTTAATTATCTATTAGATTTTTTATATCAATATTTTCCTATTCAATTATATAGTTTTTATACTAATATATTTTCTATTATTTCAAGATTATTTCTTATATCTATTCTTACTATTATAAAATATCTATTACAGTGGTTGATGGTAAAGGCTGAGAAGTAAGTAAGGAGGTTGAATTAGAGAGAAATCTTAGAAACAGTTGAAACTCAGAGATCTAAGAAGTCTTCTACCAGGATAATATAGAAGATAATAAAAAAATAAAATAATAAAATCCTTAATTAAGTTAAGATTTATTATATATACTAGTTTAGTAAGCTTAATATTTTTATAAAATAATATTATATATATAAATAATAAGCAGAATAGAAATATTAATAAATATATAAGATAATATATATATATAGAATAAAGAAAAAGAATAAATATAGTATAAAAATAATTAATAAAATAAATTATTTATTATGATATTTAAAATAGAACTGATTATTAAAATATTTAATAAAATAATAGAAAACTATAATTTCTATTTTATTATATTGTTATATTTTATTATTTTAATAATTTAAATTATATATTTTAACTAAATATTCTTTTAAGAATATAAAATAATAAAATAGAATTAATAAAGTCTAAGATATAAAGAAATCTTTTATAAAAAAGTATAAAATAAGAATTATAATTAAAAATAAATATTTTTAAAAATAATATATAATAATACCTTTTTATTTATTTATTTTTATAATAAATTATATTTTAATTATAAATAATCCATTAGTCTTAGTCTTAATAGAAAATATTAAATTAAAACTTATCACAATTATATAAAATAATTTAGTAGTAGAGTTGTAGTGTTCCTTGGCTTATCTGTGACAGGCACTGTAGGGCTGCTAGCTAGTAGCCTGGTAGTTCTTACCTTATGGCTTCCGACTTCCTCTTCTGTATTATATATCTAATCCTTATGTATTTAAAGCCTGAAGCAGAGTATTCAGAGTCACTAATTAATCAATCTTATCAAGTTAAATGTCTTCTGTCTCCAGGATCCAATATTATCCAAGGATTCTGCTATTTCTTTCTTCAGCCGCCTTCTATACTATCTAACAGGCAGAACTTTTACTTTATCTATCTTAAAAATGATTACTTAGTTTAATTATTAATTAATTAATTAATATTAATATATTTTATTATCTTTCCAGCTATATATAATATATAATAATATATTCTAGTTATTAAATATATTTTTAATATATCTCTAAAAAGTTCTAGTATTTTTTATATTTTTTTATATTTTATATTCTGAATATATTAAATACTCTATACTTATATTTATATATTTTATTTTTTTTATATAAATGCTAATCCATAGTTTCTACTAGATAGGTTTATTTTAGTACTTTTATAAATTATAAGTTAATTAAATATTTTTAAATATTTTACTTATTAAGCCTTATTCTAATAATTTAATTTATAATAATTAAATTTATAAATATTTATATTTTTCTGAAAATATATATATACTTTTTTAAAAATTAATATTTATCTATTTTCTTTAATTTTTTATTTATTTATTTCTAGTTTTACTATACTACTAACTAATACTTTTTATTTCTTTTTTATTCTTTAATTATATTCTTTTATTAAATATTTTAATATATCTAAGAGTTATTTCTAACTAGTTATCTTTATTTTTTTAAAAAAATCTGTATATTACTTTATTTATTTATAAATAATATATCAATAAAAGAAAAATATTAAATATAATTATTAAATTACAAGTACTAATATTAATTATTCTATTTTAAAAATAATATATT